CATCGCCTGTATTGTGAACAGTTACCTGACCAAGGCCAGCATCCCAACGCTTCTGCAGCCGCCCTACAGCCCAGATGTGGCCCCCCGGACTTTTTTTGTTTCCTCGCCTGAAAAGTCCGATGAAAGGAAAGCATTTTGAGACGACAGAGGGGATCCAAGCAGCATGCACCGCGGCTCTCAAGGCTATTCCGGAGAATGTCTTCCGTGACGCCTTCAATGCTTGGAAATCGCGCTGGCAGCGCTATATCGACGCAGAAGGAGTCTATTTTAAAAGTTTTTAAAGAATTGTAACGAATAGCTCAATAATTTTTTTTAAATCGACTCAGTCCTATTACTTTCCGGACAAACCCTGTATATCCAAATTAAGTACCGATTCAATTTGGCTCAAGGAGAGACTCTCTAGAAAACTGGTCCAATACACCAGCGATTGGTCAAATATGTACGTTGAGGTTGAAATTTGTTGCTAAACTAAATCGAGTAAAATTCTGGGTCGGGCCCTAATAGTTAAATAGCACTGATCAACAGCAAAAAATATCCTAAATAAAATCAACAAAATATTACTATTTTTAATGTGCTAAAACTGGAATGAAACTTATTTTTTCAATATTAGTTCAAGTTTTAGAGATACGGTAATTATATGTGTTCCTGCTGTGACAGTGTTAATATACTGTAATTCACAAGAATGCACGTGCTACATTTTTATATTCGGCAAGGAAAGATGATGTAATCGGCATGATTGTGTTACGTTATACATACGTGTACATTATATTGTTTTATATTAGCCATTTTTCCTCAGTTGGCTGACAGCGTTCATGCAAGATGTCTCGAAAGTGTGTAAACAATCCAGATCAGTTTTGTTACGTGTGTGGTGATGTGACTTTTGCGTCTCAGAGACGGTCTATTACTCCACTAATAACAAAGGCATATCAGCTTTATTTCGGTTGTAAACTAGGTGATCAAGACAAACAGTGGGCACCCTACATCTGCTGTAATACATGTGCTTCAAGTCTGAGGAGCTGGTTAAATGGCAAAAAACGGTCTATGCGCTTTGCTGTCCCAATGGTTTGGAGAGAGCCTACAAATCATATTAATGATTGTTACTTTTGCATGGTACCTTGTGTTGGACAAGCCACAGGTATGTCCAAGAAAAAAAAAATCAGTTATTAACTACCCAAACATACCATCTGCGATGAGACCTGTGCCTCACAGTGACGAAAATCCTATTCCAAAACCCCCAGAATCCTACACTTGCGAATCAGAAAACGAATCAGATCATGGCGATCGAGTGATTCGTCGGGAAGAAGATATGCCATCAACGTCAAGAGATCCTGATTTTATACCGAGCACGTCATGCCACCAACCGCACAAAATAACACAGTCAGAATTAAATGATCTTGTAAGAGATTTAGAACCTCCAAAAGGTAAGGCAGAGTTACTTGGATCAAGACTGCCGCAGTGGAACTTGTTAGAAGACGATGTTTCGGTATGTGTTTTTCGTAAACGCCACAAAGACTTAGAACCATTCTTCAATATGGAGAATAACTTGGTTTTCTGCAGTAACATTAACGGCTTACTGGCGGCTTTAAATATAAACTATAACCCAGAAGAATGGAGATTGTTTATAGAGTTCAACATTGAGTTTAAAGGCAGTGTTATTGCATATTGGAAATATTTTACCATCTCTTCCTGTAGGGTATGCAGTTCACATGAAAGAATCATATGACAATATGAAGTACCTATTGACATGCATAAAATACGATGAGCACCAATGGCATATTTGTGGCGATTTGAAAGTTGTTGCACTTTTACTTGGGCTGCAGCTAGGCTACACAAATTTTTGCTGTTTTCTTGTGAATGGGACAGTAGATTCGAAAAAAATTTTATTACCACCACTGCATATCAAGTTGGGCCTAATGAAAAACTTTGTCAAGGCATTAGATAGAGATGGGTCAGCTTTTCAATACGTGCGTCAGAAATTTCCAAGACTAAGTGAGGCAAAGGTTAAAGAAGGTATTTTTGTTGGGCCACAGATTCGAAATTTTTTGAAAGATACACAGTTTGAAAACACTTTAACAGGTATTGAAAAAACTGCTTGGAATGATTTCCGTCTGGTGGTCACTAATTTCTTGGGAAATAGAAAAGCTGACAACTATAAAACGCTTGTCAAAAATATGCTGTCATCGTATCAAAAGATGGGCTGTAATATGTCTCTTAAGATACATTTCCTACACTCACACCTGGACTTTTTTCCTGACAATTGCGGAGACGTAAGTGAAGAGCACGGCGAACGTTTTCATCAGGATATTTCAACAATGGAAAAAAGGTACCAGGGAAAATGGAATCCTTCCATGCTTGTAGACTACTGTTGGACTCTTGGTAGAGATGCTCCAGAAACGATCCATAAAAGAACAGCAAAAAGACAGCGCATATAGTGATTCTTATAAGTATATGAACTTTTTTTAATATATCCTTAAAAATAAAAAGTTTTTTTTCTAAACCGCAACTAATTTTTTTATTTCATTGTCATTTTTGGATTCAGCGCCCCAAAGTGCACTTTTCCCACAAGATACAATTAAAAAACTAAAATTTGTTGTCCAGTGATAGCTAGAGCATCACACACAAGTTTTTGGTATAGCTTCTGTTTTCATCAGTTTTCTAGCCAGCCTCCTTAACTTCGTTTTCAAGATACTTTCAATACTTTTCGCGACAAATATTGCAAATCGCCACAAACAACAACAAAATATCAAAGACAGTATATTTAAAAAGGCTTTTATTACTAATTAAAAATATTTTATACATAAGTTCCTAATATGTACAAACTATCAGTTCTATTATAATACATCCTTCAAAGTTACAAATATAAATAATGCAGCTCAAATTCTATAAAAAACTGGAAAACCATCTCGAAGGCAAAATTATTATGAAGACAATCCACTTTATACATAATGATTGCCTAAAGATTGGACAACATTAGTCATGTACCTTTCCTAGAAAGATAAAAATAAACATTAAAAATTAAACATAATATATTATCATCCCAGGTAACGAGAAGCCGGATACTGATTATATACAGGGCGTTGAATTTTCGATTCCTTGGAAACCATAACAAATCGTAGTAGGTTGAGGTATGCTTCGCAAAAAAATGCTGACATAAATAGTAAGCTTTTCCTAATGTTCTACAATCTTTCTAAATGATTGCTATCCTGTTGGATGTCTCAACCATTTAGATTCAACTTACAGCTCCCAAACGATACTTTGTAACACTACATATGGAAAAAATCGCACAGAAAATGATGTATCAAGCGAATTTCCCATTTATGTTTCGGACAATGGTTTTGTTGGATCCTGATACATGTGACTATACAACCAATGGCGACAACCCCTCCAATCAGCGGATAAACCTATACTAAGTGGCATATAAAATGCAACACCCAGAATTATTTATCGAATATTGCAAGATCCACTTTTTCAGCACGACAATGCACGACCTCATGTCGCACATGTTAGTTTAGACTTTTCAGAAGAGACATCAATCACCTATTCCAATCAATGCCGCGACGACTTAACGAATGTGTAGGTGACAGATGAGCTTCAACACATTATTAACATTAAGCTATTTTGCGAAATTTCGAGTTAAAATTTTAATCACTTTGTTTATCAGTAGACCTAAAACTTGTAAAAGTATGCTCAAAATTACAGCACTCCTAGTCGGTGTTGCATTTTCCAAGTTATTCAGTATATTGTCTATGCAAAATATGTTCTGTAGCGTGAGTTGACGTTCGCGATTGGTTACTTAGTCTCACGCAACTGGTGCAATTTTCACAAAACAAGGATACAAAAACAATAATCTAGGCTTAGTTTTTTATTGATGTCTCCCATGATGACCCAAGCATATTTGCTCAATGGAGGATGATAACTGGCAGTCAGTAAAAAAAAATGGGGCACCATTCCTTCTGTAGTCGTTCAATAATCATCTCAATTCCATAAGATACATTAAATAACGTACATAATATTGAAACAGATTAGCCTGAAAGGTAAAGGGATCTCATATACTGTAAAATAATGTAAAACAAGGATACATAATACAGGCCTACAGAAAAAAGCATGCAACTTGGGTATCACTATAGGTCCCAACATATTTTGAATTACTTGATTTGAAACTCTACTCGCATTCCACTTGCTTTAACAACAAACAGTTTTTGCGTCATCAAATAATCTGAAAATCTGTCAAACGGAAGGTAACGTGTAAAAAGATATGACTATACAGGGTGACGGGAAAATAGATGCAGAGCCGGTGGGTGGAGACAGTACAAGCCAATCTGAGTCGATTTTACTATAGGAACTACTGTCCGAAAATTAGCCGTTTTCGAATTATACTAATTTTTAAGATTTTATAAAATTAACGTCCTTTATACGTTAACCAAGTCACAAAACTTGAAAATTGGGTGTTTCATTTGATTTTTTTTTTTGTATTACAATAAAAATATTCTAAAATACGAAAATTGATACTCAAATGTACATTATCTCATGCAGTAAGCTTCAAAATAGTTCAATTTTGTTAAAAAAATCTTAGATCATCTCAAAAACTCAATTTACTAGAAACAATCACCTACACATTTTTCGTGCAAAACAATTGTAAAATATCTACGTTTCATTACCTTTCAAATGAGGTATCAAAGTCACAAACCGGTTTACAAATGACAAAGATATGAGTGAAAGCAACAGGTAGAGCCGCGAACATCGGACTTTGCCACCGAATAGTGTGATAAGTAAGACTAGTCACCCCCCTCCCTCCCTCGCTTCAATCTGCTCTTACGATTTGTTGCGTTCGGATGTGTTTGTTTGCTCGCTGTTTTGATATTTCTAACGACTTGGCTCCTATTGGACTTCCGTGTGTGATTCTTTTCCTGACGACCTAGACTGTACCCTGTTTTCTGTGAGTCTTTACGACTTGGCTGCTGTATGACATGATTTTTCGTTGATCTACCTATCGATGAACAATGGCAGTTGAACAAAGGAGGCGGTCGTTCAGTTTCGAAGAATATGCCGATATCCTTTTCTACTATGGAGATGCCAGAGGCAATGCTGAAGAAGCTCGTCGTGAGTATGGGGAAATGTTTCCGAATCGTCGCCTACCTGACGCCCGCGTATTTAGGCAAACGTTCCGTCGGGTTCGAGAGCACGGTACCGTCGTAAGATATCAAGGTAAGTTTACATCATTGATAATTATTAACTTATCATAATAACTCATTCAGTAAGGCCTATGTAGATCCTTGGAGGTCTGTGGGCTGAACTGATGATACTGTAACATAGTTGATTTGATACAGTTGATTGAACTTCTTAATTAAGAGTTTATTCATTTAATTTTAACACAAGCATCTACAAGGCTCTGAAGATGGAAACATCCACACGTTGTGTATCGTTTTTTCTAAATAATATTTTGCCACCTCTACCTCATAGTCTTACCGCTATGTTTATTAGGTAACAATTTCCTCCAAAAAAACTGTTGTTATTTGTTTTTTCATTTTATTTCAAGTGATGCAGGTAGACCGACATGATGTGGAAGAAGAAGAAGAAATATTAAATATTGTCCAAAGATACCCTACTCTCTCTACTCGCGCTGTGGCTCGACGGCTTGGATTATCCCAATGCCAAGTGTGGCATGTTTTAAATGAAAACATATTCCACTCTTACCACTACACACCTGTGCACGTCATAGAGGAAGGATATCCCATGAGGCGCATGCAATTTTGTCGTTTTATTTTAAACGCTGATGTTGAAGATAGCAATTATTTAAGAAAAATTCTATGGACCGACGAATCAAAATTTGATAAAGACGGCATAACAAACTACCATAACGCTCACTATTGTCGTGAACGTGGTGGGAAATCCTCATATGAAGAGACCAAAAGGACCTCAAAGGCGATTTTGTCTGAATGTCTGGATGGGCATTATAAACAAGTGTTTGGTACGACCACATTTCCTACCCGATTTCTTAAATGGAGAAGCCTACGAAAATTTCTTAAAAAATGTTCTCTTTGAATTACTTGAAGACGTGCCGCTACACATAAGACACAGAATGATTTTTCAGCATGAATTGGATAAAAGCTTTTGAGATTAACGAAGATTATTTTAACAAAAATCGAACTATTTTGAAGCTTACTGCTTGAGATAACGTCAATAATTTACATTTGAGTATCAATTTTCGTATTTTAGAATATTTTTATTGTAAAACCAAAAATAATCAAATGAAACATCCATTTTATAGAACCTTAAAAATTAGTATAATTCGAAAACGGCTAATTTTCGGACAGTAGTTCCTATAGTAAAATCGACTCAGATTGGCTTGTACTATCTCACCCACCGGCTCCGCATCTATTTTCCCGTCACCCTGTATATGATTCTAACTTAAAAGAATGCTACTTAAAAAAATTCCAATGTGAATCAAGCGATTCAAAATATGTACTGATAGTGATAACATAGTCTCATATTCAGAACAGTTTTTGTAGGCTTAATTTATTAGCCACACCATTCAGGAGCTTACGTGACTGTTGTAATTTTTTTTAAATAACAATGACTTACAAAAATTGGTAGAGACAATTACTAACTAAAGCTTTTTTCTATTATGTTCAACAGCAGAACATTACTTAGCTTCTTGATCTACAATTTACCGAGGATGATTGCATCTGTGCAATGCCTGCCTCGTTATACCCTTGAATAAATAAATTCCATTTTAAAGGCCAAAACAGAATAAACCAATTGAAGTGAATTAAAAAAAATCTTAAAGACATTGCATGCCCTATTTTGATTTAATTACAGTGCCATGAATTTGAGCATTAGTGCATTACTATAAAATGTCGTGATTACTGAAAAAAATCAGTAACGTTTTTACGATATCTTTACTACATAAAGCCAACACAAACTTGTCAATAACAAGAGACAAATTTATACTGAAATATGTACAGGCTCAAAATAGCTAAAGACAATAATCCAAAACTGGACTTGTCTTGCGGGTGCAGTAGATTAAAAAAATATTTCAATTTGTCGTAGATTCAATCGACAGTCCAATTTTCAATTGACCTTTCGTACTTGTCTCTTTCATAATGAAATTGAAGTATCCCTTATTCATGTACGAAAATTTCATCATTTTGAAATCATGAAACCATGTTTCAACTTTCAGCGATTTTACTATAACGTACACAAATAAACGCCGTTTGGCTGTTGCACATCTGATGAATCATGCAGTTCTAACTGCTGCCGCTGCCGTTGTAATATATGGACAAATTTTATTTGATTAGCTTATGAAGAATATTTGAAAGTAAATGTATCAGAATGCATATTTGCTTCCAACCTGTGAAGCCCTTCTTTATGAAAATCATTAGACTTGCAGTGCAGGGTATATAAAATAATCTTTTCCAAGACGTCTCCATGGCAATGTGACTTTCTCAATGTTACCACTTTGTTAAAATTAAGCACAATCGCAACCATGGTTGACCGTCTAACTATGATATAAACTACATTTGAATATTGGGGAGTATAGATAAAAGTGTTATAGGATCTGAACCTACAAGAAAATAAGACCATTTAATTTTACAGTTTGAGTAAATAAACAACTTTTCGTATAACTTTTGGCGTTTTTTTTTGGAATGATGGATGAGATTTACATGTCTTATATCATTTTCGATATCAGTGAGAATTTTCGGAACTCAAAATGAGTATCCGGGAACAGGCCTGGTGCCTTTAATAATTAAATTTAAAGTCAAAAGTGATACATCTAAAAAAGTAATGTTTGCAGAGAAAATAATAAAAAATGTAAAATCATTGCAATGATGTAATTCACAGTTGGGTAGCATGGATGGTCAACTATCGTTTATTTTCTACCAGATGTTCACAGCTCTGGATCTATTACGGATTTTTCCTACATTTGGTCTGGTCCAATCTAAACTTCGAAATAGGCTGGGAAATGAGAAGGCGTTCGTTTTTAAATATTATAATGAATAGTTTTTGATCGACTTTAACTTTCCTTAATAGTTTGCTATAATAAAACAGTTTACGTTGTTGCTGCCTTAAAAACAGTAGTTATTAATAATTTCAGCGCACCTTTTTCTAAAGGTAACTGTGAAATCGATTTCTGTGATACTTTGGTCGATTTCAGTGACTTTTTGGACAAATATGACCAAAGTAATGATACAGTGCTTGATCTGGACCCTGGCATGGAAACAGTTCTGTTGAATGGAACCCTTCAAATGGTTATCTGGCTGGGTACATTTTGGACAGACTCAAAATTGATAGTAATTGTGAATCCTGTGCAAGGTTATTTTCTTTGTTTGTCACTGAAAAACATCTATTTGTGACATTTAAAGAGCATGATGAGGAAATGCGATTCAAGTATGCAAGTGAAGATTTAATTAACCTGATTGGTCTTCTGGATGAAAAACTGTATGCATTTCTAGAGCAGCATGGTACAGAAGACCAACTGGAAGTTAACTTTAAACGGAAGTATTCCTGCATCGTTCAAAATTACAGCTTTTGTCAGCAGCATGATGTGGCAAAAGGTATAATTTAAAAAACTGCTCGGTTGGGAAGTTACAAATATGTAATGAGAAATTCTTTGAAAAGGAGTGGTGATACCAATAGTCATATATCACTAAATAAGAAATTTAAGACAGGTAAAGTCAGGTAATGTTTTTTTATGTAGTCCAGTACTCTTCATTCATTGAATTTTCTATTTATTTTCAGTGACTAAATACTACTGTCATATTATACCTAAACAATATCTTGTTTTGTTTCAGAGTTGCAGCATCCTTGGAAAGGAGCAGTTGGACGAAGAATAATTATTTATTTTGCTACTCCCTGTAATGTTAAAGCCATCAGGAGCTTTTGGTTTTAAGTATGAGGAATGTCTTGTTTATTTTTAACTTTGATTCCTTCTTTGAAGAAAATTTTCCTCATTTTTACACTATAAAAACTAATGTTTTCTCAGATTATATTTTTATTTCAGTTATTTAACTACAGAGATTTATCTTTTGTTGTTTTAGTATGAATGTTTACGTTTCAGTGATAAATATACTTCTTGATGGATTAACAATAGGTAGTGCTTGCTAAACACTTCCTTTGATTACTGAGGATCCCTTTTCATCTATTTTTATGCTACTAATGTATGATTTGTATTTTTTATATATCACTTTCTCCAGATCTCCAGGCAAGTAGGCGGCGCAACCATCTGACAAAACGTCAACGGTGTTGCCGTTGTTTAACGTGCAGCTCCCACTGCTTCAGTCTTATGTGTTTTCGTGATTTAAACCGTGGTTTGAATCAAATGATTTAAGCCAATTAACCCTGACCTGAAAGACTCATGAACTGTCTTCAGAACTGTCAATTCTACCGCCGTGGTGACCAAAACGTTATCGTAAGTAAACAGTACTTCAAGCATATGTGGTTTCATTTAGTGGCCAAACAAACATGTAAGATTAACTTCTCGTATTTTTTTAAATGAGCTCTCTAATTAGACTGCCTCTTTAGTTAACTGCGTGAATCTATTCTACGTGATACGAAAGATATGTCCATATATTAAACGACACGGTGCCCTATCCCTCAAGTTTCAAAGTCTAGACAGAAGTGTAGAACGAGTAGTTTAATCTTCTAATTACCTGAAGTCGTTGATCGATATCGTCAAACCAAAATTTTTGGTCATTTACAAAATACAGTATAAGTTATATAACAATAACGCAAGTAGTAAATCTATATGAGACGTATAATCGTTTCACATTTTACTCATGCATATATAGTAGTAGTCACCGTTCTTGGCGCGGGTCAAAGTAAGACTACCAGTATCCCTTTATACAGGGTGACTTCGAAGTTGAGTCATTTATTTTAACAGTGAGTAGATCTGATCAAAAGAAATGTTTTTTTCCTTTAACATTTTTCTGGTAAAATTAAAGTAACAAAGTCCTTTGGAAGTTTGAGTACCGCCCTGTCTCAATAATAATATTATGTGCTCGTGTTTGGTTCATCGCATCGGAAACAAAAGAGCGAAAGAATTTGGAACGATGTTTTTACAATTATTTTAGTCAGTTGTATACAGTCAGTGTCAGTCGGTAACGCGTTTGAATAGTGGTGTCTGTTGCGTGGCTCAAACGAAATAAAAAATGGCACATGTTTATGCGGATCGGTTTCCCAATCGAGTGCAACCAACCCCTCGTGCCTTTGTTAATGTAGTACAAGGGGCTCGTGAATCAGGTGACTTAAGACCACACAGGGGACTGCATGCCGGTGCTCCAAGACCTCACGATCAAATACAGGTCCGCACTGAAATACTTGTCGGGAGCATACTTTATAAAACAAGGTACAAAATTTTTTTTATTTTTTTTTTAATTTTTACACACATATTTTGGTTTATCTTCCTTCTACAATCATTATCTGAAAATTAATGACTCAACTTCAAAGTCACCCTGTATATCTCCATCTCCCTCATACATACACATGCAACCTACCTCTGTGTGTGAACGTTTGTTTGGTAAGCTCAAAGACATACGTTTTTTAGTTCTGTGTCTCCGTCTCGAAAACTTTGTCGTTACGAATGAGTGCCCTTCAATCATATTTGTCAGAGTGACAACTTACTTGACATCGGCGTGCTTTGAGTTGTCCTGTTATCAATCTTCAATATAAAACTGTACAATGCCCGGAGATACGATTAATGGAGTAAGCCGACAGCTCGTGCTAATCTGCACGCTAATCACAATAAAATTTGCTGCGCAAGTAATTCAATAGCCCTATATCACAGTGCAGAAGTTTATCATATACCTGTGTAGGAAATTCACAATGGCCGATATATAAGTAAACAAGATGACTGTAATGTGTTAGTTATATATTCTTCACTTCGTCTATACAATACATAAGAAATAGTTTGGTTGCAATAAAGTAGAATCACGTAACAGAATAGTTGTATAGTTGACAAAAACTGAATCTTGCATTAACGCAAATGTCCTATAGCGGCTGCAAGAGGCTTACACTTTGGTTTTATAACTGTTACCTGCAGCCGTTATTTAACCTCTTAAATGACTGAAGTGTCCTATTAGGTGGGCCCATTCCGCTTGTATAGCTGTTCTAAGAGGGTTTTGCCAATGTTCTTACTGTAGTATATCAAGTACGCCCCTGGTTCCCCGAAAATTGCGCATGTACGATGAGTACTCTCACCGGGATACGTTTAACACACAGTATGTCGGGGTTCCGGATTTGTAACAGTTATCGGTGATATATAATAAACCATTAGTATACTTCCGGGTATTATTGATACCAACTAAGACATTACACTTACAGTATACAATGCTGTTTAAGGAATACTGTATAATCATTCTTGCAACTCTAATAGGAGTGATAATTGTTAGTTGGGGTTTTTCCAGAAAGAGAATGAAATGAAGATTAGTCTGCGCAGTGTTCCGCCCATGAGACTCGATCTGTTTACTTATTTCATATAGAGTTGATGACGAACGGTGACTACAACTATAGTGTATTTTACGCGTTACGCTACGAAAACTGAAACTCATCTGCAAACCCACCAATCCGATTAACCTACTCGTCTCACCTCTGTCTCCTTACCACAACCCTTCGATCCATTACCGCCCTAATAATCAGTCAACTTACTCTCTGCTGCCCGCTCTTCGGCTCTCGCTTTCATGCGAGTGATGAACGCGGCGCCCTTATTCTTCCTGAAGTTCTCATACGGATCGTTCAGGTTACACCCTACGCCCTTGAACTGATCCTGTTTGTCTCGAACGTCGCCGCCCGAAATGGGCGCGTCGATGCCCTGTTCGTTGGCGCCCAGCCCAGTGCCCGCCCATCCCATCTTGCGCAGCATCAGGTGACCCTTGTTGGTGGGGTCCATTTCTTGGACGGGCGGAGCGGAAATTGGGTTCGAGACGGGTAGTGGGCTCATGAATGGGACGCCGCTGTAATTATTACGGTCCGATATACAAGTGCATATTTTAAAGTTATTTTAATATATACAGGGTGTTCTATATATTTTATTTGTTAAAAAGACCATTTCACTTATATAGACAGAGAACATCAAATTACTGTCAAATAATGGGTGATTTTTTTGCTAGTATCTTTTTGGCAACACTGTTTTTGACAGATAACGCGTGAATCGTGTCTTGTGTCATTGTCAATCTTGTTCAGTTTGGTCTATAATTTAACCATGAATCGACTTACGAACGAACAACGCTTGCAAATTATTGAATTTTACTATCAAAATTCATGCTCGGTTAAGAGAGTGCATCGAGCACTGCTTCCAATTTATGGGCAATTTGGTCGGCCTACTGAGGGAGCTATTCGGAAGCTTGTGACTAAATTTCGTACCCAGTTTACATTATTGGACATTAAACCACCAACACGCAGACGTTGAGTGAGGACTGAAGAAAATATTGCGGCTGTATCCTCCAGTGTTAGTGATGACCGTGAAATGTCGATTCGCCACCGTTCGCAGCAATTGGGCCTCTGTTACTCCACTACGTGGAAAATTTTGCGACAGGATTTGGGTGTAAAACCTTATAAGATACAGCTGGTGCAAGAATTGAAGCCACACGACCTTCCACAACGTTTCCAATTTGGTGAATGGGCGCTGGCAAAGTTGGAGGAAGATCCACTTTTTTATCGAAAAATTGTGTTCTGCGACGAAGCTCAATTCTGGTTGAATGGGTACGTTAACAAGCAAAATTGCGGCATCTGGAGTGAAGACCAGCCAGAAGCATTGCAAGAGCTACCATTGCATCCCGAAAAAATCACTGTTTGGTGTGGATTATGGGCCGGTGGCATCATCGGGCCGTACTTCTTCAAAGACGACAATGGCCGGAACATAACTGTGAATGGCGAGCGCTACCGTGCGATGATAACAAACTTTTTTTTGCCCAAAATGGAAGAGCTGGACTTGGCTGACATGTGGTTTCAACAAGACGGTGCCACATGCCACACCGCACACGAAACAATGGCTCTATTGAGAGGCGAGTTCGGTGAACAGTTTATCTCACGTTTGGAGCCCGTCAATTGGCCGCCTAGATCGTGTGATTTAACGCCGTTGGACTATTTCTTTGGGGCCATGTTAAGGCTGATGTCTACAGGGATAAACCAGCAACGATTGACGCACTGGAGGCCAATATTGAAGCATTTATTCGTGAGATACCGGCCGATATGTTGGAGAGAGTGTGCCAAAATTGGACCTTGCGCATGGGCCATCTAAAGCGGAGCCGCGGCCAACATTTACATGAAATAATCTTCAAACATTAAATTATATCGACCGTTCTATCGACTCAAATAAAGATTTAATCGTTTTTTCAAATTTTCTGTGTTTTTTGAAAATCAAATCCTATACCTCTTAAAAAATCACCCGTTATTATCTCTACTACTGAAAACTGTTACAGCCTATGAAATGGAAATGGACGTTCCTCAACAAAGCGTCATTGTTTCACTGTTTCCAATGAGATATCTGATATACACTGTTTCGAAGGAAGGTCTATAAATCTGACTCTTAGTCACCCGAATAATCCAGCTTAGCCTTTCTACGTTCTATATCAACTCACCCGAACGAAGGCTGCGGTGGCGATATGCTCCTCCTACCAGCCGGCGACCTGCTTCTGCTCCTACTGCGACTCCTCCTCCTTCTATCTCTGTCTCTCTCCCGGTCCCTATCGCGCTCCCTATCTCGATCTCTATCTCTGTCCCTCCTGCTGTGCCTCCTCCTCGGACTCCTGCTTCTGCTTCGACTCCTACTCCTGCTGCGGCTCTTGCTCTTCGGCGAGACTCGCCTTCTACTTTTGCCGCTGCCACTCCCACCACCGCTCGATTGCTGCACCATTATTGGCGGAGGGGTGGGGCTCTTGCTTTTGTACCGCCTCTTAGGCGGGACCGGTTCTTTCTCCACCGGTAGTATGACGGGACTGGGCGAGCGGGATTTCTGCCGCAGCCCCGCCTCTATCAACTCGTCCTTCTCTTTCTTGGCGATGTTTTTAGCTTTGTAGTATTCATATAAACCTAGCTTTTCCCACCCTTCGCTGATTTGAGTGAACATTGCCGACACAAGAATTCATGAGAATAGATCGAATAAGAAATTGGAAATAATATGTACAGTTGCATTGATGACAGTAAGATTGATTATGTATACATATGGTGACTGTGATTGTATGAGCGTTGTTTGTTTGTTGCTTGTTATATCACGTGATCAAATCCAGCAACAATATTTCGTGAATAACTACATAATAAGATACGCAAATAAGATGAGGTTTTTCAGACGACCAGCAATTTAGTACCGGGAACGAAAAAAGGGGAATTTGAGATCAACGAACCTGTGGAGGAAACTTCCAATCACCAGAACAAAAGGGGCAAAAACATTCAATCTCAGAAGTGCATTCAATCGAAAATCAGAATGTATCTGGAAAGTCGTCTCAAACCTTAAACATGAATGCAAAAAGTCGTAAAGTATAGTTGAAAAGCTATTAGGCACCGAAGAGTTGAGAATTAAAGAAGAGAATACCATATAACTTCTAAGAAAGTAAATTAATAAAGATATCTAGACTAATCGAGTCTAATAGGCAGATTTGAGATTAAACACAACTATTGTTAATGTTTCTTCCTAACAATTCACTAGTATTTCATGTCACAGGTCATAAGAATTCAATGAACAATTCCGTGAATACACAGATTTTAAAGAATAAATGATAAAGCAAAAGGTTGTGATACAAAGGAAATTTACGATTATGAAATTTTACAAATATTTTTTTTCACATTTTTGACATTTCGGTGCTGAAGCAGGCGAAAAACGCCGAAACGTTGGCAACTTGGAAAATGACACCTAAACATCCGAAGAAGCATAAAACAAAATAAAAATCAGTGATCGAATCGGAAAACCTTGGTTTATTATCAAAATTAGCACCAATATGAAACAACCTACTACAGTGTACAGTATATTCAGATAAGAGATAGACCGGATGTAAACAAAAGGTTCGGGTGATTTTCACGCTAACGCCGCCGTCTCGACGTAAAACAGGAGCTCTCATTGGTCAATTCGCAATTAAATGCCTATGCCGAGCGGCAGAGCAGTCGTATCAAGGCAGAGTCACATTCAGGTTCAGACGTGTTACGTATGTCGTGTGCATCATTGCAATTTGATATTTCTTTGGACGTTTTCGTTTGTTATCTTATTAAGTTGTTGAGTTTGTCGTTGTTATTGTTATACCTTGTTATTGATTGTTATTGTTATCAACTGCTTGCGCAAAATGCCCAGTAGTACAGATACTGCCGATGAAGTTGTAAACTCCTATAGTCCACCTAGGAAACGCTCTAAAAAAAGACACCTGAGTGCAGAAATGAAAGAGGTCATTTTGAATATATATATAAGATCGAGCGCGAGGAGAACGAGGCATCAACCATCAAAGAAATTGTTGTGAAGGTTTCTCACAAAGTTGGGGTGTGTCGCGCATCAGTGTTTAATGTGTTAAGACAATACAAAAAAAATCACACCTTTTCTGAGCCAATGACCACTAAACATCGCAAAAGTATTGTTAAATCATTGGATGAAGCTGATAAGCATGCGATTAGGAGGAAAGTGCATGAATTCTTCTTTAGGAATGAAATACCTACTATAGGTAGGTAAATGGAGATACAAAGTTGCCAAATTTCAAACGATCAACTTTCCATGCGTTACTGAAGCATTTAAATTTCAAATGGAAAAAACGGGGTCGTAATAGTTTACTACTGGATAGAGAAGAAATTGTGCTATGGAGGAGGGATTATTTAACAAAAATTGGGAAATATAGAAATCAAAACAGGAAGATTTATTACCTTGATGAAACGTGGGTAAAAGCAGGACACACTACAAGTAAAGTATGGGTGGATGATTCTGTAACTTCATCCAGGAGGGCCTTTCTAGATGGACTGTCCGCCGGATTAAAAAATCCAGCAGGTAAATACGAGTAATAGACAACAATCGGATGTTTTTCAAACCTTGGGAACAAGGTTCTAAACATTAATTCCAGGGGGCAGATAAAACATATTACAAGTAACAAAACTTTTATAACTTTCGATAAAATGCGTGGATGTTTTATTGTCATTTTCATTTGTTAGAACTTTTTTAAGCCATGTTTTTATGTGTTTTCGATATTTCAATAATTTTTTAATATAATCTTATAATATGTCGAATATTATAAACTTAAAAAAAGTTACTAAGTTTTATATTGTGTACCGTTCCTAATATTTCTAATCATTTTAATTCATACTTTAAGCTTTATAAAGTTATAATTTGTTAATATTAATATTTGCGCGTATTTCAGGTTCCTGATCATTCATTTTTTAAAAGTTTATAACTTTAAATTAAATTGTGAAGCGCTGAGTAATCATACGTCGTTCAATATTCTTTTTTTCAATATGACTAAATAATCCCAATTATAGCAATCTGATACTCATGTCTCAATGTTTTTTCGCTGAATGTGATGAAAACATTTGAAAAAGGTTCGCTTATTGAAATAAATCTACACCAGTTAGTACTTCATTTCCAGGTAACGGGAAAAGGCTCATTATCTGCCATATTGGCAGTGAGGATGGATTTGTTGTTGACGGTCTGTGGTGCTTTGAGTCTAAGAAAACTGGAGATTACCACGAGGAAATGAATGGCGAATCGTTTGAACAGTGGTTTTCAAAAATTTTACCGAACTTAGAGGAAAACGCAGTAATTGTGTTGGATAATGCGCCTTATCATTCTCGAAGAATGGAGAAGGTCCCAACAACGGCTTCAAGGAAAGTTGATGTTCAAAATTGGCTCCGCTCGAAAAATATTAACTTTGAAGAAGCAATGCTGAAAGTACAATTATTAAGAATTGTCAAGGATCACAAGGCGGAATATCAAAAATACGCCATTGACGAAATGGCAGCAAGTCAAAATAAAACTGTGCTCGGTTTACCTCCATACCATTGCGAACTCAATCCCATTGAGCTCATATGGGCAGAGGTTAAAAACTATATAGCTAAGCACAATACAACTTTTAAATTTTGTGACCTCAAAGGACTTTTCAAAGAAGCACTAGAATTAATAACAGCGCAAAAATGGGAAAACTGTATTAAGCACGTGAAAGACAAAGTTGAAAAGAGAATGTGGGAACTGGACAATATTTTAGAGGAACAAGTCGAGCCATTCATTATTGACGTTGGTGCTTCAGGCAGTAGCGATGATGAAAGCTCATCAAGCTCATCTTTCCAATAAAAGATGTCGTTCATCAAATTCGGTAAGTTATAAGTAATTATAAAGCTACTGTATTTTTTAATTAATTATTGACATTTTTGAACCCATTTTGGCAAAACCTATTCAAGAATCTACTTTCTGACAATGTTCAACCATGCACATTTTTTTACGTTTTGAACGTTTTAATTTGGTTCATATTTACCTAGAAATCAAAAAATATACTAATCAATATTCTAAAAGCAATTTTAAGAGATATACGATTATTTTTAATTTAGGCTAATTTAAACGCCATTTTGAGATTATATTCGACTGTATTTCACCAAACATCAGGCGGCATCCGAAGCTGGAAATCGAAGCGAAAATTTTGAAACCCTTATGTATATTTACATCATTATATATTTCTTACCCCACCCCCACATGATCCTATATCCATCACCAATCGTATACACATCGAATTGTGCTAATTTACTACAAAGTTACGCAAAGCAGCATCTACTATCTAAAATATGTACTGCGTGACTCTTAATACGTCCCTGCCGAATGTTACAGCGTTCGATGATCACGTGGTCTTGTTTATGTCCGGTCTATCTCTTATCTGAATATACTGTAGGTATTTAATATGCAATACCATAAAAAGAGAATGAATAAACTTACAGCACATATAGATTTTTTCTGGAACGTTTGTCACCGCTTTTTACAAACAATAACAAGGAATGAATCACGTGATAACAAACTTCAAAAATAGTACTTGCTGGCTATGAACAAGATATATATTTTTCAAGACAGAACTTAATTGCATGTCGATAAATTGTAGAGAAATTTGGCATTCATGATATTATTTAAAGTGCAATTTCCAATTTAGAGGCGGTGTGATGAGGGATGTCCTGTTTACATTTTCGAGTTCTCGATAGTGACTATCGTTAGCTTATGTATCACCATTGTCGTTGTACAGTATTGAAGTCACTTGTAAAGAGAAATTTTTAGTAATGTCCACCTATTTGCTCTTTTCTAGTCTCTCCTTCAAAACTTTGATATTTTTGTATTTGCAAAACACTGTTGGTGTCTATTTTATATTAAAACGTTGAAAAAATGTTTGTATTGCCAAAAAACATGAACTACAGTATGACATCAAATAAATATTTTTCTGAAATCTTAAGAGTATTGTGCTGTCAAGTTCGATTGTTTAGGGTTAGTGCACAACATGAGATGGTAGGACAGAGCATCGAGGATAATTTTTTCCACCTGCCAGCGTACACTGATAACAAACTCATTTCATGATACTGCCTGACAGCACACACTGATGAGAAAAATATTCCGCGCATATGATGTATATGAACGTTCACTTACAATTACAGTAGAAACGTGGTGATTCTCTCAAAAGCAAAAACAGGCTTTTTTATTTTTTAATATGACATCAACCTTCCAAAGAAAGATGATATCTCAACTTTCCTCGTAATTATTCCTAAGATTTTTGATATACAAAAGCAGTCGCTTAGGCAGAAGCCTAAATGCCAGATCACTGCGCTTGATGGGTCACTAAAACTATCTAGATATGTGAACAGCTCTGAATACGATCCTGAGTTTTACCAAATTTACACCCTATTCGTTATTGCCAACGTTACAGACTAATACAAATATGTCTCTTGCTGATCAGGGCCGTGCTCGTAAATTGTTACAGATTGTACTTGTACTACTTGTAAAAATTTCAGCGTTCGTAATTGTTTGAAGTACCTGTTCCATGCGTTGGGAAATAGAACAAAGTAATCCTTTTGGAACGTCAAAAGTGTGCTTTTCTTCCGACACGGGTATCATGTATCTTGATTTTTTTTGACATTATGCTGTTTTTTTTTTGACATTATGTAGGTTTTTCTACAAGATATTAACTTAGCACTTAGTTGTACGTGTTGCCTAAACGTCATGAGGCTTATTATCAATCTTTGGCTCTGATGTGATGTAAAATCTGCTTCTGAGATGCCATTACTGGAGGACTAAGCTGTAAGTTGTATGTGTTCTTGTCTCAAATACACTTAATTGAGATTCAAAGTTAGAAATTAGTTGTGCATCCACTTTTTCTTATCCATTCTGAAAATTACATATACAAATTTGATGAATTTCAAAGATGAGAGAGATAAGAAATAATTATATTCACTGTATCTTTTTTGACCTATCGATACAATTGACATTGGACTTCTAGAGGAAAAATTATTTTATTTAGGTTTAAGAGGTTTTATATTAGATTGGGTAGTGTCTTTCTTGTCTGACAGGAAATTCAAAACAAAAGTTAACAGAATTACATCCGCAACGTACAGTATCGACATTGGAGTAGCGCAAGGCTCAGTTTTAGCACCCCTTGTATTCAATCTGTATATAAGTGATTTGCATCTCTCTGGATTTGCAACAAATTATGCGGATGATACGTCAGTTCTTGTAAGTGGAACCACACGCAATGACATTATTGCAAAAATAAATGGAGTAAAATGTGAAATGAAAGGGTGGTGCCAAGCAAATCGTTTGATTTTAAACCTCGAAAAGTCAGATGTTGTACATTTTTATACAAACGCCCCTATTCTAGCAAATCATGAGACATCGAAAACTACGACATTCTTGGGAATAGAAATGGATGCAAAGCTCAGTTGGCAACAACACATGGACAGTGTGTGTAAAAAGTTGAACCAATCATATTATGCGATTCTTAAGATCAAGTTTTGCTTATCAGAGTCAGCTTTACTAGATGTATATTATGCTCTCGTCCACTCACATTTATCAAGGAACATCATAATTTGGGGACAAGCAACTTCAATTTCTAGAGCATTTGTTCAACAGAAGAGAATAATCAGACTGATATTCAACATTCGTAGAAGAGAATCCTGCAGAGATATCTTCAGAAGTAAAAACATCATGACTCTACCAAGCATTCATATTTATAAGTGCGCCCTTTTCACAGATACAAACAAAACAAAATTTATACAGAACAAAAACATCAACACACATTATAATACAAGGGCAGGTGACAGTCTGAGTATTCCAAAACACACACTGACGCTGTTCGAAAAGTCACCGGAATACACCTGCATCAGAATATATAACAAACTTTCAGCTAACCTCAGGAATGTCAGTAGTATGCCTAGTTTTAAATGTAAACTACGCAAATTATTAGTTGAAAAATGTTTCTATTCTTTGTCTGAATACCTCGCACTGTGATATATATTTTTTTAAACTTTGTGTCTGTACGCATTAAGTTGTCCCTGTTTGTACTTTGTAAATATAGTCAACGCCAAACAAAGTGGCGTGCACGTCATCACGATAAAAATTCCCCGACCTAATGCCTAGGTTTCTATCACAAACAATTGCTCTATTGCAGTTTCATATTAATGTGATATATAAATTGTAAAATGGTCATTACTCTCTTATTATGGTTAATAGTCATATAAACATTGTTATTAAAATATCACATAAGTTGCTTTCTGATAAATTTAGACGCATTATGCGAAATAAAATGTTTTGCAAACGCTCCAATCACTTATCGACATGTAAACGCACTAAACCGATTTCGCAGCGTTGACACATTGTCACCTTGAAACTTATTTAAACTGGGAACTGACATTTGTATTAATTTTGACACTGAATCAATTTGTGGCATTTCAAATCTTTATAAATCCTTTGGCCCCGCATACTGTAAATCAACAACTGTTTGTTTCAAAACAAAATTATTCATTTTACGAGTAGATAAAGGCAATTTTGGTATATAAAGATGCCCAAACAGTTAAATAGTCGGTGTAAGGAACTCGTGGCCTCGTTAATGCACTACTTTGAGCAAGAAAGGGACAACAACGGGCCTTTGTTGCCTTTAAATGCTGTTCAAGAGGTAGGTTACTAATAATTATATGTAATGTATATTAATAATAGTGAAATTTTATTTCATTTTTTGTAGCGTGTTGCTGCTGCTTTAAAAATTAGTTTAAGGACAGTTAGTCGTATTTCCGAGGGTGTGAAAAGTGATGCAAATTTAGAATCGCCCAAGAAAAAGCGGAGTTATATTAAACGTGTAACCAACACAGCGACATTGGATACAAGTGCCATTCGAGAAGTGATCTATAATATGTATCACAAAAGTAAGATCTTATTATAATAACTTATCAGAAATTTGCATTAATTTGTTAACTAAATTATAATGTCATATTACACATGGTTTCAGAAGAACAAGTTACGATACAAACTTTATGGTCTCGATTAAGAGATAGGGCATTATTTGATGGTAGTGCCACGTCTTTAAGGCGGTTGCTTAGAGATCTTGGATTTAAGTGGCTTAAGGACAATCCGCGACGATGGCTCATGGAACTACCAAGTATAGCTTTGAAAAGGGTGGAATTTCTAAGGCAATACAATCAAGCCAAGGTTGAGGCCTTATACCAGTTTGTCTTCCTCGATGAAACTTGGATATTTCAAAATGGGACCATAGGTCGCTCTTGGCAAAATGGAAACCAAAAAAGCGTGAAAGCTATTAAAACAGATGGTAAAAGGTATGTACTTTTACACAATTTGCACTATAAAATTTAAAACTAATATATTTTAGATACATTATGTTACATGCTGGAAATGAAAATGGGTTTATTGAGGGTAGTGAAGCGATATTTTCTTCGAAAACAAAATTGAGCGATTACCATGGAGAGATGAACCAGGACAATTTTTTGAAATGGTTTCAACATCAGTTATTAGAAAAATTGGAGAGTCCATCTATGATTATACTGGATAACGCCCCTTATCACAGCATGATATTGAACAAAGTGCCCAACAATGCATGGACAAAAAAAAATATCCAAGACTGGTTGACAAATCAAAACATACCATTTTTAAACACAATGTTTAAAACAGAGCTATTGAGTATTGTTGCTCGGTACATAATGCTTCTTAATTATATATATTTTGGTCGACAGTTTATATTTCTTTTGTTTATTCCTATTCTTAAAATAACTGCTTTTTTAGAAACAAACCACCTAAAATATACGTGATTGATGAATTGGCGGAACAACATGGGCACAAAGTTCTTCGTCTGCCTCCTTACCATTGTATATTTAACCCTATTGAGTTAATTTGGGGCATAGCAAAAGGTTACTATAACAGACATATTGGTAGAGATGGTAACAGTGAAAAAGACTGTTTGGATATGTGGAACGAGGCTCTACAAACGGTTACCCCAGACATGTGGAAAAATAGTGTTCGACATACTGAGCAAGAGATTTTTAAATGGTATGAAAGAGAACGAATTTTTGATCGACCAGACATCGAACCTTTAATAATCAACTTTGAGAGTGATGAAGATTCAGATTCAGACAGCGCTGAAGAAAGAAACTCCGACTAACTTTATTGTACAGAAAAAGCTTACACCAGTAGCTTACCTAATTTTAGAATGCATTTTTCTGTATGAATTCTGTAAAATAAATACCATGCATAAAATTTGGAGGACCCCATTTGGATTTTTATTCAGTACCTTTAAGCTATCAATTAAATATGGTAGTTTCATAGTATCATCTGATCAATAATTGTCATACTTAATGATTATGCAAGTACAGATCTATAATTTTATTATACTATTATTTTTGTTCTCATTTGAGGTTAATATTGCTTATAAACCTAGATATGTAAATAATAAATTTTATTATTTTACAAAAAGTTTGGCAACAATGTAAATTTTTCAACACACCCACCTTGATGACGTGCACGCCACTTTGTTTGGCGTTGACTATACTTATGTTTGTTTCGTTTTTATTTTTAATTATGTGTACTATGTACCTCCCTCTTAGGACGAGTCTTATGTCATTTTTTATGATCTACAAGACAATAAATGTATCTATCTATCTATCTATCTATAGTGTCGAAGTACAAGCCATATACATGCTAACAGTAATTTTACACACAATGCGGGCGCGGTGATGATTTCCCGTAATTCTCCTCAGTTTTTTGTAATTTATACTCTCTTCAGAAAGCACAACATATAAATAACCCGTCGTATTCAGCATATTCAGTAATGATTTTCTCACACAGCAAATATCACTGATTTTATACACATGCAGACCAATACACATAATCATCCAGATGCGATCTTGCTATTCAACCAACTTTCTTATCAGAGATAAAAACTACAGACACGGATCACTCAGCCTCACAAAACTATGCAACCAATAATGCGTGTAGTTTAGTTGAGTGATTCCTCCATAGATACGTTCACAACGATCCTAGTGAGCAACTGTAGAATGACTGTTTGCGCCCTAAAAACTACCTAGTCTGCAAGTTGACATCTTACAGGTTTTTTTTTTACGTTTTAAAGGTTTTTTACATGATACCCGTGCCGAGCTCAAACTTTGGGAGTGAGAGTTCTGTCACTTGTTATTCTCATGGTTCTGTGTTTGTTTATTTGGTTATCAAAAACTGCTCAAAATTGGCAGAATATACAGGGTGTCCGCAAAGTTGGAGTTTTCCTTTACACGACGTGTAGATCTTGAAAACATAAGCAATTTTTCTTAGTACCATATACACCAATGTCTTAAGGGAACCGAGATAAAGGGCTCTGCAACATCAAAAATATCTGAATACCGTCCTGTAGCCGCGACATCTCCGAGTGGTACAAAGTCACTGGCTCAACCCGACGACAGAACTGGGTCGGGGTCAGTGTGTTAGGTCAGTATGCAACCTTCAACCGACGGTTACGGTCACACGTGTAGAGGTAATCGCGTAGACGAGAATCCTCAACAAGCACTAGAGACGTGGCTAGAGAAGTGCAAGTATCAAAAACTAAAGTGTGGCAAACGCTGCGTGAAGAGGGGCTGTATCCGTTTCACGTCCAACGTGTACAAGCCCTTCAACCTGACGATTTTCCAGCAAGAGTGCGGTTTTGTGAGTGGTTGTTGCATCAACATGACAATAATCCGGACTTTCTGAAGTGCATATTGGTGACAGACGAATCTACGTTTACGCGTAATGGGGTGAATAACTTTCGCAACACTCATGTTTGGTCATTTTCAACAAACATTTTCGGTGAATGTTTAGGCTGGCATGGTGAACGGTATGCTCATTGGACCATTTATTCTCCCAAATCGATTGGACGGGATGCAATACCTAGACTTTTTACGCAACATTTTGCCTTCCTTGTTAGAAGATGTGCCATTAAGTGTAAGACAATCAATGTGGTTTCTGCACGATGGTGCATCGCCCCATTTTAGACGCCAAGTGCGTGAGTTTTTGAATGAATTATTTCCGAATAGGTGGATCGGACGTAATGGACCCGTAACGTGGTCTGCACCATCGCCAGCGTCTGCTCGGTAGCGCATCAGCTGATTTCATTTTCTGTTGGAGCGGTATGATTTCGGGCAGAGACGTACTTAGCCCTTCTCGTCATCTGGAGAGTGAGTATTTTTTTACTTGGTCGCCCTCGTTTCACTACACATTACCTTTGTTATTTCAAGGGTAGTTGTTTCTGAAAGGGAAAACCCCAACTTTGCGGACATCCTGTATATTTTTCATGATAAATGTCACCTCGTATCCCTGGGGTATCTTATAATAACTACAATGGTCGCAAAAAAACGTGGTCGGCGGTCATCAAGAGTCATGTAGAGTCCTGTACTCGGCGTTCTAAAAATAAAGTCACACAGTACTCCACAGTAAAATTTCATCTGTCAATCTACATTCCATTACTGTGAACGGTATTAGATTACAAAGTAATTTACAAACGCACCCCAGCTGTTCACCTCAGTAGGCGTCAAAACGTAATGGATACTCGTGTACCGTGGTATCTCGATGATTTTCCTCGTCAGTGTACGCTGGCGAGGGAGGGATCCTCCAGACTCCTCTTCTACCATCCCACAGTCTGCGTAAAACGTTATCTTCGACACCAATACATTTTATAGCCGTTTCATCAAGGCGAGGATTTAACAATTCACTGTCACCGCATATGAATACAATAGGACATTCGATGAAAATATAAAGAAATATATCCTTGTTGTTACCTGTCTCTGGGCCGTTCGTGGCTGGGCAACGAGTAGAAAGCTTCGACGGCCGCCAACAGACGTTCGTTAGGTGGCGCGGGTGGCGGCAACCTAATATCTTTAGGATCTAACGGTTTATATGTTGTCTCTTCCAACTAGAATAAGCGTGTCAATAAACCATTATGAATTCGAGGACAATCTAAATATTTTAAAGGATTTTCTCAGAAGAAATGTGTGCGCGCAAGGTAATAGTTGGAATGCTGAATATCTCTTCATCGTCTAATCTAATCTATCTGTGACAATGACAGCAAATAAATGTAAACTCTGCACCCATATACTTGTTTCTGGGCGTAATGCATTCGATATACACTGAGAACCAAATTTGTCTGACAGCTTAAGTTCAATGTGTACGAGAGAAGTGCGTATAGACACGTATGTTAGACAGAGATAGAAGCCGGCTGGATAGCGATGCTCATCACCGCGTTGTCTAGCAACGCTGACGCGGCTATCTGCCGCGTTACCAATATGATACACTCATTCCTTGATGCACGATGAAAGTATGAGTTAAATTATTCTCTACGCCAAATAATGGTTTTATTCTGAGCGTACACAATTGTGAAGTTTGTCGAATCTGATTAGGATCGATTCCGGATCGGTGCTAACGGCGCTCCATTTTAGGACGAAATGAAAGGTCAGGATCGCCACAAATTCTGCAACATTGCATCATTGGTTCGTTTGGCAACACCGCATCTCGTACATTCCAAGGCAAGGTTTCCACCTCCAGTACCCACCTAGCGGTCATTGGGGAGTGTTGTAATGCTTCGAAAGAAATTTCACCTGCGTACTCGTAGGCAGTAGTAACTAGTATTGCGTAATAGTATTTGTTATATTTTCCGACTGTAACAATAACTCAGGATGTGTTGATTTTATCAGTGGAAATCAAAGATAATTCTAAAATAAATTAAACATCAAGCCAAATTGAAATTAATAATTCTAATCAAAATGAAAACAAAACATTAAATCAAATGTTCGAACAGACCTCCTTATTCGGTTTGACAGTAACCTAACCTATTGTAGAAGCCTGTGTGAACATTTTCTGCGGCAGATAGCACGACCTTTTTCAGCCGGCTTCTATCTCTTTCCAACATGTTTGTGTTGATACACACTTCTCGCGTTTCTCACTAGTACACATGGAACTCAAGCCGTCAGACAAATTAGGTTTTCGCTGTATTCGTAGTAGTACCCTCTCAAACTATGCAATAATTGATTATACATTGGCTTTTCGTTATACAACGATGGTGTAGCACACAAATGTGGAAAGAACAAAACCAAAGTATTAATGTATAATCTTTGCGACAGAAATCAGTATTCTAAAGTTACACCTATTGGCAGGTGGTGCTAGAGATACTATAAATGTATTTATCACTTACCACACTTGTGCATTCGATTATTCGTCTCCTGATTGTTATATTCTTGTAGGTAACTCATTTTCAAAAGAAAATTACTTACATTTCTGAACTACACCATCAAGATGTTAGGAATTTTTGAACCCAGACATCCTTGCATTCATACACAAGACAAAAATGGTATGAGCATGCACGGATATCTGATATAAACAAGGATATAATTATAGTAAATTTCTAGCCATTTTTAATGCACTGGCATTTCGTCTAAAACAAAAACTCTCTTTGCATTACTCATTATAAACTGTTTAGATGTATATTTATCCTACCTGTATATCTTCAATAAGCCTGTATATCGGATCAAACACTATAGCATACGCACAGTAGGAGTAATGAGAGATTTACTGCTGGTTACTTTTTGTATACCTTGTTGAAACTGACACAAGCTATAGATCAACAATAAAATCAGGCGAAAGCTAAAAACTGAAACATGTAGAACAATTGTTTTTACAACTGCAAATATCTTTTTTACAATCCCTACTCTAATTGAGAGTATTCAGCATAACAACCAGTGTAGCGCTTAACGTCAGGGTTTTAGGATAAAAAGGATAAAAGAAAGGTACTTTATACAAAAAAAAATTCAGTATCCGATGCCAGCCCGAATAAAATAATGTTATGCAAAGTTTGCGTTATTATATTGATATAAAAATTGTAAGCTGTGTTACTAGAAACAAAATATTGGGTACACAATATTATTTATGATACTAGAAAACCGAAGTAACTAATACAATATTTAATACTAATTTCTTTGCAATGTTTATGGAACGTTAAATCAACTGTCAGTATCAAGTACCAGGATATAATACATTGAAATCTTGGAAACTGAAGTGAACCCAGTTTTGAAGGAAAAATGTATGTGGGTGGTGCAAGTTTATTAAGGAAATGTAAAACTGAACATAATAAATGTATTCATATATTATAAACAGTCCAATAATAACCAGTATCTCCATGTTGCAGTCTGTCTTATTTCACAACTTCCAATGATAAGGAGCAGAATATGAAGCATCTCGGCCTTAATAATTCCAAGATGACACAGCAGACCCTTCTAGAAACATATCTTACACCCGAAATAGCTTAACCTAGTGATGCTTGGTCGACTATTGCCAAAGTGGAAACACATGCGAGCGCGAAATCAAAGTATATTAGGAAATAGGCTAGTTGACACTTTTTTAAGTAGGTCTTAAATAGTTGACATTTGTTCTATCAGACTTGAAAGAACGTAAAACCTCAGTTTAAAAACATATTTTTTTTAGACACGAGAAAACGCTGGCCGCCATACTGATGTGCTTTGACGTCATACCATTTGTAAACCGCAGCTACGAGCAGCATAACTTCTCAAATTTTCAAATATAAACATAAAGAATATAGTAATTATCGTTATTGTATCGTCCGAGAATGTGAAAACTCATCGATAAAGACCCCAGGAAAGATGTGGTATAGTATAGAGTGCTTGGAGTATACCTTATGTTCGGGACATTTGTACATTCAACTGTGCAGATTTTATCGTCTCGTTTGAGTTGTACGTAACCTACAGCATCATCGCTGTACGATTCTCTTTCAGATGTGTAAAAATAAATACAACATTAGATAACATTATTCAGAAGTTTCTGCTTTTACAAATCCAGCGTCCATTATTGTTTTTACATTACTTAGGAGTTTTTTAGAAACACTGAAAGAAGACAACGTTAGTCCACGAGTGACATACGGATGGCGTTTCTTTGTTTACAATTTGTATCACGTCACATCATGACCGACCGTGTTTTCACCGTTTCATATTAAAAATTAGGAATATATATTTTTTTTAATTGGGCCTATATATCTATATTGCGCTTTTAAAAATTGAAATCGCTATACTTCGTTTTCCCAAGCCAAATACTGCAAGAAATACTCATTTATTCTATGAAATTAGATATGAGTCAAGTAGCCTATTTGATTTAACCGCCAGACATTTTCATAGCATCACTTACGGAAAGATATCGAATATACTGGCTGAAATATCTATGTCCACAACTACAAAGATTAGCTTACCTAGCACGCATGCCATAAAAATGGACTTCTTTCGTCTTTCACTTAAAAAAATGATGACACCATTCTTTTTTTTGTGCGTCCAAAATCAGTGCGATTCTATTCAAAAAGTTCTTCTCGTTATCCCCGCTACAAATGCTTCATTCGCCAATATCATGACATACAGTCCCAGAAGTCGACGTCAAGACGGAAACGGAGTCATAATACCAGAACAATATACAAAAATCCAAGTCGTGTACTTTTCAAATTATATCCTTTGAAAAAGAGCGGAAAAGTCTAGTATCTTTTAGTTCCCATTACTGCAAATTTCAATATTTTCTCAGACAGGGTGATAGACAGTGTCATTCTACGTAGTGACAGCAAGACAGCAACGCAACTTTATTTTTCCGATTTTTTTTTTAAATGCAGCAGACGCTCGATAACGTAAACAGGGGATAATGAAAACTTGCGCTAATGTAAACACAAACATCGTTCTATAGGACCAAACGGGACGCGCGATAACGTAAATGTGTACGCTCGATAACGTAAACAACTCTAGGCGCACGGAAACAGCGCGACGGTAAAATGCTGAAGTCTCGATGATATGTCGGGCGTCGGGGAGTCCCCGATTTATGATGTAGAGTGTAGGGGATTCACCTCTGCGATAAAATATGACAACCTCGGTCAGTCGTATGATCGTTTAGGATACGTTTATACGTACGTACGTATTTCATTTTTGAACTTAAGTGAATACATTGCACGCGTTAATATATTTTACGACTATGGCATCCACATCCTATAAAAGAAAGTGTTTAAAGTTGAGTGAGAAAGTGAAAATTATAGACGAAGTTGCACTAGGTGCGGGAGTGACACAGTTAGCAAAAAAATATGGAGTATCGAAAGCAACAATCTGTAAAATTAAGCGTATGAAAACTCAAATTTTACAAAGAACGTGCAATACATTTGGAGGTCCGGGAAAAAGAGAAACTTTAAAAAATGCGAAGGCACCTAAAATGGAAAATTCCTTGTATAAGTGGTTTTTAAAACAACGGGAAAATCATGTCCCAGTTAGTGGCGAAGTACTTAAACAGAGAGCGAGACTGTTAAATGAAAAACTGAAAGACACTGAAAATTTCGTAGCTAGTGATGGCTGGCTACAACGATTCAAAACAAGATATGGAATTCGACTGCTGTCTATATCTGGTGAAAAATTATCAGCACAACCACAATTAGTGCAACCGTTCACAGAAAAATTGATGAAAACAATTACCGAGCTAGATTTAAGAATGGAACAAATTTACAACGCAGATGTAAGTGGCCTTTATTGGAAAAAGTTACCAGAGAAAACCTATGCTGCATCATTTGAAAAATCTGCCCCGGGAAGAAAGCCGGAGAAACAACGAATAACGTTTCTAGCCTGCACTAATGCTAATGGGTCACACAAAATAAAGCCACTGGTAATTGGAAAAGCAAAAAATCCGCGCTCATTTAAAAATGTTAATATCCCTGTTGATTATGACTGTTCAAAAACCGCTTGGATGACTAGCAGTATATTCCTGAAATGGTTCCACAGGTGCTTTGTCCCTCAGGTATGACAATCAATTATCACAAATGCTCTATTCATAATTTGAAGATGTGTTTTCAATTTGTAGGTAAAAGGTTTCCTAAAACAACAGAAGCTTCCAATAAAAGCGTTGTTACTATTGGATAATGCACAAGTCATCCTCCCAATCAACAACTGAGGAGCAGGGATGGGTCAATTTTCGTCATGTACATGCCGCCCAACGTAACACCGTTAATTCAACCGATGGACCAGAATATAATAAAACTCACCAAACTATACTATAGGAAGTTTCTACTTTCGTCTGTCTTATCAAAGAATTCTGAAAACTTATCTGAGGCTTTAAAAAAAGTAACATTACGAGAAGCTGTTTTAGATTTACATATGGCCTAGAATGAACTTAACCAGCAAACTAAAATGTTGGAACAATCTCTTTTGTACCAATAATGAAGATGATGAAGAAGACGATGTCCCCTTAAGCGTAATTACAGAACGTTTGCGATCCAATAATGATAATGTTATTAGTGTGTCATTGGATGTTGTTGATTTATTGAAAACAGTGAATCCCAACATTGTTTGTACTCCTGCTGATATTAATTTATGGAACGAAGATAAGCAGACGAATGATGCTGTTAAGGAGGAGGATATGGACAGGGAGGATGATGAGAACGATCCCATTGAAGTCAGAAGTGTAGTGACTGACGCGCAAGCTATACAAGTTTTTAACCAAGCTTTAGATTGGACTGAAAGAAAAGAAGTTTCATACACGGATATTTTAGTTCTTCGTAAATTACGGGCGCAGGCATTTGAAGACAATGCTAAGCGCAAATTTACGCAGACAAAAATTGTTAATTATTTTTCTTCTAATTAAAAAAATACTTATCTCTGTTAGAATATTTGTTTATATTATATATATATACAGGGTGACTTCGAAGTTTAGTCATTTATTTTAACAGTGAGTAGATCTGATCAAAAGAAATGTTTTTTTCCTTTACCATTTTTCTGGTAAAATTAAAGTAACAAAGTTATAGCCCTTTGGAACTTTGAGTACCGCCCTGTCTCAATGTGCTCGTGTTTGGCGACAACGGATATAATCCGTCGTATCGGTTCATCGCATCGGAAACAAAAAAGCGAAAGAATTTGGAACGAATTATTTCATTCATTTGTATACAGTCAGTGTCAGTGAATAGTTGTATCTGTTGCGTGGCTCAAACGAAATAAAAAATGGCACATGTTTATGCGGATCGGTTTCCCAATCGAGTGCAACCAACCCCTCGTGCCTTTGTTAATGTAGTACAACGGGCTCGTGAATCAGGTGACTTAAGACCTCACAGGGGACCTCACGATCAAATACAGGTCCGCACTGAAATACTTGTCGGGAGGATACTTTATAAAACAAGGTAAAAAATTTTTTTTAATTTTTTTTTTATTTTTACACACATATTTTGGTTTATATTCCTTCTACAATCATTATCTGAAAATTAATGACTCAACTTCAAAGTCACCCTGTATATATATATATATATAAATAGTATGTATTAAACGTTTCTTTTAATAAATCAAATATTATATAAATCACGTTCGCTAATGTAAACATTTCGATAATGTGAACCACACTTGGATTAAATTAGTTTACATTATCGAGCGTCTGCTGTAATTTAAAAGCACACGACTTAGATTTTTTGGATTTTACTGATAACTATTATGACAGCCTATCCCCAGTTTCCGACTTTCTTAGGACCCCCTGTATAACACCATTAACTGTCTTCGCCGAAATCGAGTTTTTTCATGATCGCATACAATATCAGCTTACCCACAGTCCCACACCCATCTCACACGTACCTTTACAAGCGGCACCATCAGCCCGGCCGGCAGATCATAGTATGGCGCCGTGGGCATCAACTCCTCCAGTATCGGCTCAGGCTTGGCAGGGAATCCCGGGGGCGGCTTGCTGAAGTCAGGAAACATCCCTGGAGGCGGAAAGTAACCGGGGGGCGGCTGCGTGAACGGAATGGCGTCCAGACCGCCATTGGCGTTAGGCAACGGAGGCGGTTGGGGGATAGTGGGCGGTGCTTGGGTGACGTCGACGGGGGCGGCAGGGAATAGTGGGGGGATGGGCGGCACCTGCGGCTGGCCGCTAGTGGAGACGGTCTGTACCGGAGTACTCGGTGCTGGCGTTGTTGGAAGCGGTGGCTGAAATTTGTAAAGTGCATTTCTTTGGCAAGATATCCTCCAAAATGTCAATTCGCATTCAGAAATTCGGCAAATAAAACCACGTCACACGGCAAGGCAATTGAGCACAGACATTTAGCTACGAAACTCGTTGGTGACAAAAACTTTATTAGGGGCGAAGTTTAGCCTAATGCTATTCTGCCACTGAATCCCAAAAACAAATGTACAAAATACAAAACAAAAAAGATTTCAATGAGCTAAGACTTATGAACGGTACAGGGGAAAAAAGATGAAAATCTGCTGTGTTGTAGTTAGAACCGGCAACATGTAGCCTTATCCCGTGAGGTTTCAGAAACACTCAAAAACAATGACAGTAAGTCAGACAGTAATTATAACCCAATTGAAAACATGTCGTGAGGGAAAAAAAATATGAATGTCACAGCATTTGTATGGAAAAAGATGAACGTCTACTTATCGTCACCAAAACTAGTAGCTACTACAATTTACCATACACCAATCTGCCGTGAAAGAAATATACGTTAAGTAATCATTTTTAAGCAGTTACCATTAATAACACCAATAATAACACTCGAATTAAAGCTTTTTTGGTTCATTGTTTTTTCCTGTCCCAATTCTGTGTTTGAGCCATTGAGGTTAGAAAATCACCTATTTAGACTACAAATCGTAAAACCTAATATAGGCATTTTGCTGGATGATCAACCCTTAGATTTTACAATGTTGCATGTGACGAAAGCCTCATTTCTTACCTCAATATCAAAAAGCTAAATTCAAGCATGGACGCTAACACGTAAAAAATGGTTAAAATCATTAGGAGAATCTCAAAATACAAAAATTTGGTACTCCATCAGATCTTTGACCCTCCCTGTACAATGAGTCTAGGAGTCTTCAAACTTTTCAATTCACTTTTCTCAAAACATCTTTTTTCACCTGTACCCTTCATATGTATGTATATAAAACTAAGTATAAAAATATCTTGAATGAAGATATAAAATATAACATATGAAATATATATTGACACTGTAACATTTTGGTGGGATAAAAACTAGATAATCGAAAATATATGTAAAGTAAAAAATACAAAAGTGTTCCTACACTGTTCATAACTTATCAAAGAGCATCTAATACCAGTTTTACGTTAATTTCTACACGAATTTATTCAGTTTGTGGTCTTCAAGGTCATCCTGATTATGTTTTGCCATGTTTACATCAAAGGACATATTAATCGATTATCTGTCAATACTCAGTGCTGCCATCCACCCTACAAATTCTTACTAGAAACACTTTGAGCTTTTATGTCTATTGTAGCTTTAATTTTGGGGCGAATCTCATAAATAGAAACCATATTGTTGAATACTGTAGTTGTATCAAGTATTATACTTGAATTCAAAGGTTTTTCAATATAATGGAAAGGAAAATCAGGTGCACCATGGAATTTGACGACCAATTTGATAAAAATTAGAACAAGTTTTAATTTCGTGAAGAAATCTACGCAGAACTTCATGTATTTGACGTCAAATTCCTGTGGTACATTTTTGAAATTTGGCCTTGAACTCAATTCATGAAGAAATCCGTGGATTTATTGTCAGTGTAAAACAGGTATGAGGAAAATTTTAATTACCTGTGAATTTAAACCAGGCGGCGGCACACAGACATTCATATAAGTATCATTTTGTACATTAAATGACTGCTGTTGTTGTGAAGTTGCAGTCTGTGTAGTAGTGGCAGCAGACTGGCTGAGACTCTGTATGGTCTGCTGAAGCGTTGCCTGGATGGTTTCCAGTGGAAGAGCATTGTTGGTGGTCGTCTGGGGCTGAGGTGCTGTTTGCTGAGGAGCCGGTGGTTGTGGCTGGGAACCCTTAACATTGGAAAATATGTTCTTTAGGATCAAAATCTTTTGTACAGTGAGGCGCAACAATAATCGTGTGACGTTCTGCCCGCGTCATGAGAAATTAGAGCAAGTGATAACCACCTAAGGGATTAATTTATGGATATACATCCACATGTTATCGCATACTACAGGGAGAATGCCCAACTGTATTTGAAAGTTCACATACAATTTACATCATCACATTCATATTGCCAAGAAGAACCACAGCAGCTCCCTTAAAATAATCAAAATAATTTTCCTTTAAATAAAAACATGACATCAATCTTCCAAACAGAATTGCAAGACGTACGTATTTGTACATGGAAGAAGATCACAAATCATTCTGTACTTCAAATGGTTTACATATATTTTGAAAAGTAATCAATGATCAAAAAAAGGTTGATACTTCCTAAGTATATGTGTTTCAGGGTACCAATAATTTGTTAATAATAATTCTATCCATTTTTCATTGTGATTTATCAGACATTAACTTGAACATGCGCAAGGTGTGCGCGCAGATGGTCCCAAAAGTGCTCAAGGACGACCAGAAATTGCGGCGAGCGGAAGTGTGCCAAGCAAATTTGAACATGTGTGAAAGTGACCCCCAATTTTTGAATAACGTAATCACAGGTGACGAGTCGTGGATCTTGGAGTATGATCCCGAGACAAAGAGGCAATCTACCGAGTGGCTCACGACGGCGTCTCCTCGCCCAAAAAAGGGAAGAATGAGCAAATCCAAAGTGAAAACGATGCTCATTGTCTTTTTTGACATCAAAGGCATCGTCCACCATGAATTTGTTCCTCCTGGACGAACCGTCAACGCCAAGTTTTACGTGGAAGTGCTCAGGAGACTCAAACGAAGGGTCAGTCGGGTCCGACAAGACATCGCAGCCGACTGGAAGTTGCACCACGACAACGCCCCGGCTCACACCGCCTTTCTTGTGAACAGCTACCTGACCAAGGCCGGCATCCCAACGCTTCCGCAGCCGCCCTACAGCCCAGATGAGGCCGCCCCGGACTTTTTTTTGTTTCCTCGTCTGAAAAGGCTGATGAAAGGCAAGCATTTTGAGACGGCAGAGGGGATCCAAGCAGCATGCACCGCGGCTCTCAAGGCTATTCCGGAGAATGCCTTCCGTGACAGTTCAGTCCTATTACTTTCCGGACAAACCCTGGATGTTACCAATTTGTAGAGTTTGTCATAAAAAATAATTATAAACACTAAGAATTCAGCCTTCTTCTGGTACTTACTATTATTGCAAACAAAATTTATACATATCCCACCTGTTCCAAATTTTGCTTCTGCTGTTGCAGATCCATAATCTGCTGCATGGCATGACAAACAAACGCTTGATGCTGAGCCTGGTAACTGTCAAATGTCAATTTAGTCTGTTGAGTCAGTGGAGCTATTTCACTGGAATATTTTGCCATCTGATCAGCTTGATATTGCTGGTAGCTTTGCAATGGCTTATGCATTTTTTCTAATGTCTTTGGATCTAGGTAATTCATTTTTGACTCCCACAGCTTCAAGAGTTTATCCAGTTTCAGCCTCTGTTCATCTGTGGCAGCTATGCTAGCATTACAAAACATAGGAACCACTACCCTTTCTAGGGCTTGTTTTAAGTCATTCGCATTTTTCCTTGCACTAAAATATTATTGATATCATTTAAGTATAAATCTCAACAATTTATAAAAATATAGGAAGGAATATTGTGGAAAAGAGCATTTCTAAGGGCATCTTTTGATTCTGAATCTTATATTGTCAGCCCCCGAAAGCTAGCCTACTTTTTAATACTTTATATTGTCCTGCTTTCGAGGTATGGCCACAAAAATACCCCTTTCTCTTCAGTTTTGAATCTTGAGAGTTAACATACATAAGCTGAAATCCCACATAATGGTCACATTAGTGAGTTCAGTATATTTTCCTCAGATTAGATGGAAGCTTAACCACCTAGGTTACATTCTTAAATCAGCACATGACCAGATTAATTATGTCAAGTAGAAACATATATTAAGTCACAGGTTTTATGCAAAATTTTGAACTGGAATCTTACAAATCAGCTAGAGTTTGACAAAAACAACAAAAAGTAGTTAAACTAATTATCATTACTTTCAAAAGCATTCAGAAAGATCCTTCCTCTCCCAAAAACATTTTTATAGCACTTATAGAAAGCTTTTCTGACTGACCAAATAAACTGTCAAACTGGCAACCTGTTTGGAATCAGTTCATAATCATTGCATCATAATGGATTTAACAGGAATAGAAGCAAAATTTCTAAATTTACTTACCTATGGTGCAAAAGATCATTAACTAAATAAATCACATGTAACTTTGATGGAAAACTGCTCGACTGTAAAACTCTGAAAAGTTATTGCTTTTAGATTGTAGATTTTATGGAAATGCATTATCATCAAATATACTACTCATACATTAAAAAAAACAAGATGGTTGAATGAAGATATTGTCAAATCTTTATCATAACATTACATGTGTCTGAAGAGTTTATCACATATAGATTTAATTTATTTATAATATCAATTATGTATATCTTATACTGTGACTTACTTGTATAATAAACTTTCAACAATACAATCAGCTTTAGTTTTATCTGCAGCATGCTGCAGAAACCATGATTTCCCATTACTAATGCTATCTTTGGTGCAACTATCTATTATAGGTTGCAAAATACTATAGACCTCTGTTAAAATGATGCCACAATTGTCTGCCATCTTTTGTAAATCTGCAGTTTCACACTTTGCAACAATCTGTTCAACTTGAGCTTGCTGTTGTTGCACCAAAACAGTGTGCTGGGCAGTGAGATTCTGTTCACTCTGTTTGATCTGTTCTCGTAAGACATCTTGCTGTTTTACAATACGATCTATTTCCGGTTGATTAGCCTGCATCTGGACAGGTGAGGCACTCCAGTTACTGTTCTGATCACTACCGTTGGTTTGTTGCTGATGCTTATAAACTAAAAAATTCAACAAATTAGATTGGAGTAAATAAATAGAATGAAGGTAACTCACTAGCTTGTTCTGCTGCAACCTTGCATTGGTAGTAGTTGTAGTACTCGCCGCCGAATAGAAACTGAAACTTCGGGTTGCCCTTCTGTTTGTTCTTGGTCATTTGTTCGAAATCCGGGCCATTTCGAGCAACGAACTGGGCCAACTTATCGATGATATTTCGAAGTTCAGTATCTTAGGAAACATAACCTCCGTTAGTAAAATGGTTGATACAGGGGAAAAATGAATTACCTTGTGGTGCTTCAGACAGATCCATATCTTTACTAGGATAATAGCGCTATATACATTGTAATTCGAAAGGCAGATTAGATTTTTGAAAAAATGCCGATGGACGCGAACAATTCGCAACCTCCTCTCGTCACAAAAACACAGAACACTAAACTTGACAAGTGACATCCCTGATAACTGTCAATCATGTTGTTTTGTGATAACTGTGACACAGTGTTGCCGAGCCGAAAACGGTAAATAGTGTCCTTAAAATTCGGTAGATTCAAGGACGAAACCGGTAGGAAAAAAAATCAGGGCCTTCGCAAGATCAGTCATGGACCGAGGAACTTGCTGCTTGCTTTACGTAAAAAACATATTTTTGTGTTGTGCGCACATACGCAACACATGTTTTTTGAGGGCAGCTGGAAAGATCTTAAGTTCTTTATTACAGTTTGTACAACCAGTATACTGGTCGCTTTTTTGCCATTAAGATTCAGAATATTTTTCTGTTTCACCCCTGAACTTGAAACCTCATCACCTTAAATCTTAATCTAATATTGAATTAAATACAGACGAGGTCTGGTTTTCTTATTGCTGTACGGTGATGCAATATAGGAAAAGCGGAATAAGGGATATGTGCGTACATAATTGTAGGCAATACAAATCGACGTTCCTCGTGTGCCCCTCTGCCTAAATGTACGCTTATGTATGATTGATATGGTGCATAACACTAGAAAGACTTTCTTTTTTCTATTTCATTTTCGGTTTCAAATTTGCTTCGCTAAAACATCTGGAAGTATCTGAATTATTTAAACAAGAAAACATGGAAAATGAGGGCGTTTTCGGCAGAAATACGAAAAATGGGTAGGTTTGACAACACTACTGTGGCGAATGTCACAGTACTTCCCTTTCACAACTGTCCAATCAACAAAAGCAAAACTAATCACGTGGCTCATTATCTCCACTGGCGGAACATACAGGGATACTTTTCCAAAGGGTTATTTCAATGTATATTATATTTTGTGCCAGGGAGAAAAAAGCCTGAAAGCTCCATGCTCCATAACTTTTGACTAGATTGGCTTCTACACTTCTATATCTCTGATTCGTCTCAAGTCTATCTAGTATACATGGTGACGGGAAAATAGATGCGGAGCCGGTGGGGGGAGATAGTACCCCAACGATATATATCGACTGTGAGATAGTACAAGCCAATCTGAGTCGATTTTACTATAGGAACTACTGTCCGAAAGTGAGCCGTTTTACAAATTATACTAATTTTTAAGATTTTATAAAATTAACGTCCTTTATACGTTAACCAAGTCATAAAACTTGAAAATGGGTGTTTCGTTTGATTTTTTTGCTAAAATACGAAAAATGATACTTAAATGTACATTATTGACGTTATCTCATGCAGTAAGCTTCAAAATAGTTGGATTTTTGTTAAAAAAATCTTCGTTCATCTCAAAAGCTTCAGTTTACTAGAAAAAGTTGCATACAAATTTTTCGTACAAAATAATTAGAAAACATCTACGTTTCATTACCTTTCAAATGAAGTATAAAAATCACAAGTCTATTAAGAATTGACAAAAATATGACTATTATAAGAGGAGGAAGGAAAAAGCAATAAAAATATTACACTTACAAAATCATTCCTTAATACAGGATAGTTTGTTTGAAACTACATTTTTTCATTTTTATAATACATTTTCAATATGGCGCCCTCTATTTCTAATGCACACACACATCGGAGTATACTAAAGTTGTTTCCATGCGACCCCACACAAAAAATTCCATAGGTGTGAGATCGGGACTGCGTGCTGGCCATGGGATTGGTCCGCCTCTACCGATCCATCGATTCGGAAACTGCTCATTTAACCAATTTCTAACACTTAGTCTGAAATGTGCTGGGCACCCGTCATGATGAAAAATCATTCTGTGTCTTGTGTGTAGCAATACGTCTTCAAGTAATTCAAATAGAACATTTCTTAATAAATTTTCGTAAGCTTCTCCATTCAAGTTGTCGGGTAGAAAACGTGGTCTTACCAAACAGTTATTTATAATGCCCATCCAGACATTCAGACAAAATCACGTTTGAGATCCTTTTGGTCTCTTCATATGAGAATTTCCCACTGCACGTTCACGCCAATAGTGAGCGTTATGGTAGTTTTTTATGCCGACTTTATCAAATTTTGATTCGTCGGTCCATGGAATTTTTCTTAAATAATTGATATCTTAAACATCAGCGTTTAAAATAAAACAACAAAATTGCATGCGCCTCATGGGATCTCCTTCCTCTATGACGTGCACAGGTGTGTAGTGGTAAGAGTGGAATATGTTTTCATGCAAAACATACCACACTTGACATTGGGATAATCCAAGCCGTCGAGCCATGGCGCGAATAGAGAAAGTAGGGTCTCTTTGGAAAATATTTGATCTTCTTCTTCTACATGTCGAGGTCTACCTGCATCACCTGAAATAAAATGAAAAAACAAATAACAACAGTTTTTTTGAGGAAATTGTTACCTAATAAACATAGCGGTAAGACTATGAGCTAGAGTTGGCAAAATATTATTTAGAAAAAACGTTACACAACGTGTGGATGTTTCCATCTTCAGAGCCGTGTAGATGCTTGTGTTAAAATTAAATGAATAAACTACTAATTAAGAAGTTCAATCAACTGTATCAAAACAACTATGTTACAGTATCATCAGTTCAGCCCACAGACCTCCAAGGCTCTACATAGGCCTTACTTAATGACTGATTATGATAAGTTAATAATTATCAATGATGCAAACTTACCTTAATACCTTACGACGGTACCGTGCTCTCGAACCCGACGGAACGTTTGCCTAAATACGCGGGCGTCAGGTAGGCGACGATTAGGAAACATTTCCACATACTCACGACGAGCTTCTTCAGCATTGCCTCTGGCATCTCTATAGTAGAAAAGGATATCGGCATATTCTTCGAAACTGAACGACCGCCTCCTTTGTTCATCAGCCATTGTTCATCGATAGGTAGATCAACGAAAAATCATGTCATACAGCAGCCAAGTCGTAAGGACTCACAGAAAACAGGGTACAGTCTAGGTCGTCAGGAAAAGAATCACACACGGAAGTCCAATAAGAGCCAAGTCGTTAGAAATATCAAAGCAGCGAGCAAACAAACACATCCGAACGCAACAAATCGCAATAGCAGATTGAAGCGAGGCACTCAAATGTTTCATTTCTAAACCGGTTTGTGACTTTGATACCTCATTTGAAAGTTAATGAAACGTAGATATTTTAAAATTGTTTTGCACGAAAAATGTGTAGACGATTGTTTCTATTAAATTGAGTTTTTGAGATGAACGAAGCTTTTTTTAACAGAAATTGAACTACTTTGAAGCTTACTGCATGAGATAACGTCAATAATTTACATTTGAGTATCAATTTTCGTATTTCAGAATATTTTTATTGTACAACCAAAAAAAAATTCAAATGAAATACCCAATTTTCAAGTTTTATGACTTGGTTAACATATAAAGGATGTCAATTTTATGAAATCTTAAAAATTAGTATAATTCGAAAACGGCTAATTTTCGGACAGTAGTTCTTATAGTAAAATCGACTCAGATTAGCTTGTACTATCTCCCCCAACCAGCTCCGCATCTATTTTCCCGTCACCCTGTATATTATCTACCGCAGGTTACACTAACCAAGAAAGTACTTAACAAAACTTTATTTATAGAAATTACAAATTACAATTATGTGGCCATCTAGGAAAAGGTATAACATCTTTAATGTTGTTTATGCCTAAAATAAATAATAAAAACCTTTCAAATCCTAATCCATATCCTCCAGTAGGGCAACCACCAAACTTTCTCAAATCCAAATACCAATCCAGTTGTGAGCGTTCAGGTATCTGGCTTTTTAATTTTTCATAATTATCTTCTCTGAGACTCCCTCCTACCAATTCACCTACATTAGAAACCAGCAAATCAAATGCAGAAACCTAAAAAAAAAATTATATTATTTATTCATTCATGTTTGTGACTAACTAAAAATTACCTTTCTTGTATCGGTTATACATTCTTTCATATAGAATGGTTTCATTTCTTTTGGCCAATCAATGATAAAAGTGGGAACATTATCAAAATACTTAACAATAAACATTTCATGTTCTTTTGTTAATCCATTTGTTGGGTCAAGCTTCTCCTTTAGCTTATCCCTATTATCGCTCAAAATTTTTACAACTGAATCATAATCCACTCTGATGAATTCTTTATCTAACCATTTCAAGTCACATTTAGCCTCTTCTGAACATACTTTCATATCTACATCAGCTTTATCTAAGGTCATTTTTGTGAGATCTTTAACAGTATCTTCTACAATCTTTGTTAACACTTCTAGTTTGTCCATAAATGCAATTTCAGCCTCTAGCATATAAAATTCAGATAAGTGGAATCTTGTTCTAGAGTTTTCAGCTCTAAAAGTTGGCCCAAAGCAAAACACTCTACTTAGACCGTGCACAGCAGCTTCAAGATGAAGTTGTCCAGAGACAGTTAAAAATGCTTTTCTATCAAAAAATGCTTCATTTGAGTCAATGCCCTCTTTGACCATAGACTTCAACAGACTAGTATTATCTGGTATAGCTGCGAAGACCTCACCTGCTCCTTCACAATCATTGCTTGTTAAAATTGGAGTGTGGATATTTGTGTAGTCTTTGGAGGCAAAATACTCATATATAGCAGTTGTTGCAGCACTCCTCACTCTAAGCAAGGATGCAAATTTGTTGGTCCTAGGTCTAAAATGTAAATATTGCCTAATGTATTCAGGAGGATATTGTTTTCTTGGTGCAAAAGGGTAACCATCTGTAATAATGCACTGTCCATAAACGTTCACATCATCAGCATGTAGTTCCAATTGTCCCCTAGGAGAATGTTTCAAAATTCCAGACACATATATGGAAGCACCAACTGTGATTCTTTTATTCCATAAATCTTTTGGTAAGATCACTTGTAACTTTGTTTCTGTGGAGCCATCACTTACATCAATGAATGTGTTTTCTTTCTGTCTTCTCAGAGACTTTATCCATCCCTACAATGATGACATGTTAGATAAACAATTGAACAGAAGCACAGTCGCTGGTGTACATTTTAACCTTTAAAGTGATTTTATCACCTATAGCAGGTTTTTTTAATAAATTTATAACACTTTGAGCATATGCGCTGCAATTTCTACCGCAGCAAAATGTTGATAACCGCATTCGGTTCATCCCCCACATCATTTTTATTAATCAAAACATACAAGACACGTACGAGAAAAAGGTAGGTTAGTTAGGTAATCTGTCACTGTCAAAAACAGATGTCACGTCAAAACTGTCAAGTCAAATGCCAAAATCAACCAATATCTCCCTTACAACAAAAATTACAATAATTTTGAAAAACTCATTTTCAAAGTCTGATTGAATAATTATAAATGATTGAAATGAGTTATTGTGAAGATTTGATATTGGGGTTAGTCGATTTTTGGAAATCCCAAAAGGAGATGTGGTGAAGGCAATGATGTAATCACAGCCGACGTCAACTACGAGCCGTGAACAAAGAAATCTGGCAACGTAGGTGGTAGTGTTACTCCCGCCGCTCAAAACGCTGAGAAAACATAACCTTTTCAATTTGTGATTTTGGAATCGCAGAGGCTGTAATTAAGAGATAAGCTTGTTTTCTAAACTTCAAAGTGTGTATATGTGTTCAAAGTGATCGGTGACTATAATATATGAGAAATAGACTCCAGTTGTAGTGCTTCTGTGCTTTAAAAATAAACTAAGAAGTGTGACTGTGGCTGTTCGCGCCTCAAGACGCTAAGGATTTCAACTATTGAAAACGTGCAAATTCTGGTTGTATTTTTCAAATTTCAAATAAAAATGACATGGCTAAAACTGTTTTAGCCTTCAGCATTTGGAAACATAACAGAAATTATCAAATTACTAACAGTTTCAAATCTAACAGGTGATGAAATGACACCTTTGGTTGAACATGTGATAAATTTAGTTCAAAAATGTGGATTTGAAGTTATTTGTGTTGTTACTGATAATCACCGAATTAATAGAGCAATGTTCAGGAAATTAGCAAAGGATTCATCAGAAAATTATTCTATTCCAAATCCACATAATCCTGATAAGAACATATATTTAACTTATGATGTTGTGCATATTTTCAGAATCAGAAATAATTGGATTAATTTAAAAAACCTAGACAAAACTTTTGTATATCCTAATTTTGACAATAATGATATTATTCAGTATGCTAAATTTGAAAACATTCGTGCTGTATATCAATTGGAAAAAGAAGCTGTAGTTAAGAAAGCATATAAATTAAATTATAAAACATTGCATCCAAATTCATTTGAAAGGCAAAATGTAAATTTTGTAGATAATTTATTCCATCACTCAACAATAGCTGCTATTAAAGAATTAAAGTTTAATGATGCTGCACACTTTTTGGAAATAATCAGGAATTGGTGGGATATTGTCAGTAATACAAGTGTAATAAAAGGAGAATTGAAGCGAAACGAATTTTGTAAGCCTATTACCAATAAATATGATTATAGAGTACAATTTTTAAAAAAATTCCTGATATGGTTAGAAAAATGGCATAATCTAGAGAATAATAATGGACACCTGACACCAGAAATGTATACAGCTCTATATCAAAGCACGCTGACTCTACTTAATATAATTGAATATTCATTTAATCAATTTCACATTGAGTATGTATTGCCTGGAAAATTCACCACTGATAATTTAGAAAAACGATTTGGCAATTATAGACTTCTATGTGGCTGCAATTACAATGTGTCATATGATGAAATTTTAAATGCTGAAAAGAAAATACGGCTGAAGCATATTTTCAATGAAAAGAAATCGTCATTTTCTTTAGCAGAAATTAAAGGTTCCAAAACTGCTTAGAAACTCAAGAAAATTTTGATTTCTTGGATACCAAACAAAATCCTGAAGTTTTGGATATATTCAATGAATTATTTGAGACAAATTACTTAGCCAATTGTGACATAGAGGATAGTACTAAGACTTATATATCTGGATATGCTTCACACGCTATCTCTAAAAACCTAAACTGCGAGATATGCAAATCGCTAATAGTTAAAGAAAAAGGTTCATTAACAACAAATGTTTATTTTGATTATTTGCAAAGAGGAGGACTGTCAATTCCAACCAGTTATGTACCAATCATATTCTACCATATGTATGCCATTTTTGAATCTATTATTAATGTAGATAGATTGGAAATTTTCTTCTTGAAAAGCAATAATCAAAAATTTATTTTGTCAGTTAACCTTGCTCAGCATTCAGTCTGACTTTATTTACAGTGAATTTTCTTTAACTTGCATCTGTGGCCGCAATTATGCAGATATTTTATCTAAGCTTTTGTCTATTTTTTTAAACATAATTTTGAATGATTATGTAAAATTGAAAAATAATAGTAAAACTGAAAGTAAATGTATTAAAAACAAACAGGTAACTCCACATTTCCAAGCTGGGCCTGTTGGAACACAGTGTGCTGACAAAAAAAAACGTAAACTTAATACTTTTAATTAGGTTAACTGCATTAGCGACTCATATATATCACGATTATTTCGTATTTTTAAATTTTTTAGAGCTATTTCATATTCAGATGATTTGTATTGAATCGAACTGTCCTCTTTTCCAAAATTAAATTTAGTTCTTGAACGTTACACGCAGCCGGCCGACGTTCAGAGGTAGCACTACCATGCCGTCCGAGCGCGGTGTTGCCTTTCTTTCATCACGGCTCGTAGTTGACGTCGGCTGTGATGTAATGATGCGCAACCGGCGACGGGCGACGGCGCATCTAGAAAACATTTCAACGTTGACAGATTGTTTTCGCAAAAATCCTCAGAGATGGAAAACAGCATCTACACAGCATCTCGACTCTCCAATAATTGCACTGGATTTTTGTGCACAGGGCCGTATCGTCAGTCGTTCTTACAATGAGGAATTTTCCTATTTTTCAAAAGACACTCAAAATGATAGTCTAATTAAAATGAAGAACACCGCTGAAACTTTTTTTGAATATCTTGAAAAATATCACAAAGTTACGCTATTCGGAAGTTTATTATTTGGAGAATAGTGTGGTGGGCCGTGCGAGTGACTGATGACGTCACATGACGGAAGCTTATCAGCCCAGCACCACTGCAAGGAGATGCGCCCGCCGCGCCGCGTAACACACGCTTCCCTCTATTATTAACAATAAGTAAAAAGTAGGTCAAACCTTCAACCTACAAATATTTTATTGTACCTAGGTGTACTCATACTAGCATACAGCAGTATTAGAAAGAAGTGGTGCAAGGTAATAATGAAAAACAACGTTGTTTTGCTGTGAATCCCATTTTGATGTAAGCAGCTTTTCAGCCAGTACCTATGATATAAATGGCAGCAATAATAATTATTATTAGTATTAGTGTGTATGTCTCGCATGATAAGGTAAAGAATCTCAATGGTTTTAAGGACAGAAAAAGATTTGATTAGTTATACTGTCAGATGCAGGGCACGGCGCTCTGCACTCTGTGGAATCGTGGTGAAGGGAAGTCGATCTTTCTGTTAATGCTGAAAAGACCGAGCTGATCCTATTCACTAGGAGAAGAAGGCTTGACGGGCTCGTCATGCCGACTTTCTTTGGACTATGTTGAATACAAGGTTAGCAAGGCTCGCAATTCAATGTGGGCCTGTAGACGTGTTGTCGGTGTAAGGTGGGGGCTTAAACCCAAAGTGGTATACTGGCTCTACCCGACGATACTACGTCCATCTCTCTTGTACGGCTCCCTGGTCTGGTGGCCTTGCATTAGAACTGAGATACCTAAGGCCAAACTCAATAAAATTCAGCGTTGGCCTGTATTAGCATTACAAGCGCAGTGCGAACAACGACATTGAGTGCAATGGAAGCTCTGTTGGATCTCCCAGACTATTTCTGCCTCTCGGTGGATACACCACTATTTTCCAGGCGGAAATCTTTGCGATTCTGGCGTGTGTATCTCACATTCTGGAGGAGGATGGGCCTAGGAGAAGAATAACAATCTTTTCCGACAGCCAGACTGCAATGAAAGCACTAAGTGCCTGTAAGATTACTTCGAGTCTTGTATTGCAATGCAGGGAGGCTCTGGATTGCCTCGCAGAGAGGCATCCGGTATCGTTAATGTGGGTACCGGGACACGCTGGGACAAAGGGCAATGAGACGGCGGGCACTCTGGCGAAGACAGGAGCAGCCAGCAAGCTCGTTGGTCCTGAGCCAGCTCTAAGAGTGACCGTGCATACAGCTAGGAGGAAAATGGAGACGTGGGTTGCAAGACAACACTCTCAGAAATGGAGTAAGTATCTCCAGACATCTCCGCCAGGCACCTGAACTCATTGAAGGGCCCAGTGCTAAGGATGGACGTTTCTGTCTATCTCTGGATAGAGCCAACCTAAGGTTGCTGGTGGGACTGTTGTCTGACCATAACACGTTAAGGCGCGACCTGCACGTGATGGGGGTGGCTGAGGATCCCTTGTGTGAACGCTGCGGGGTAGAGGAAGAGACCTCGGCGCACGTTTTGTGTCGCTGTGAAGCTCTGAGCTACTATAGACAGACTATACTGGGGTCCATTACTTTGGACCCTCAGGACGTCAAGGAGCTTAGACTCAAGGCGATTCTCAACTTCGCTAAAAGGGCGAGGCTTGTGATCTAAGGAATGTAGAGGTGCATAAGAGCCCGCTTAAGCGGCCTATGCACTGGCTCCTTATGGTGGCCGGAATGCCTTTAATTTCAAGTTTTATTCATTCATTCAAACTATCAGATGCAAGTAACACAGGCAGTATTTTCGACTATAGGAAACTTCCTAATTGAAGAAGAAAAGATAGCCTGACAATAGGAGAGCGCTGACGCTGACATGGAAAAGTAGAAATCCATAAATATCCCAGCCTTTCTGAAGGAGAGGAAAGACTATGAAAATCAAGGAGGTCATAAAGGCGTCCTACAATTGTAGGAACGACTGACGATACGGCTCTTATATTTAGAAGTCTTATGCTTACAACTATACATATGTGTCAAGCAGCTTGTTGTAAATATCGGTCATTGGACATTTGGGAGTGGCATAATTGTTAATATAGGTACGTTTTGAAGAGAAAAAATCGCCAATCGTTGTCTAACAAACGGGTATAGCTTATTAAAAATACTTTACTTCTGTAAAGTTAACGAGGAAATATGACTCCAAAAAACAAACGGATTAATTTCATAAACTGTAGATTCCATTCGTAAAAATCGCAGATATTGAATGTGAATTTTTCATTTTTAGGCTCCACTACCGCATATTTAGTTCAATGCAACACAAACCTCGGAAATATGACATATGCGTGCCGTTTTCGTTGTTAACACGTTATTCTTTTCCCAGAGGTTGGTACGCGCGCAAACGTCGACGTCACACACACTATGTGTTGCGTGATAATGTAAAACTGTACAAGCAAAATGTACGATTTGCATGAGTGTCTATGCCAGCCACCATGTACAACATCCTGATAGCTCACATTTTTTTCTCGGATGCCGAAGAGATAAACGAATTATTTAAAATACGTAGAATATAGATGAAAACATAGTATCGACCATACGACACAATTGCGTCTTGCCCTGCGTGCCCATCTCTCAAGGTCATAGATGCTCAAAAAGCAATGTAATTTTTAGAAAGTTGCGCTGCTGTGTAGTCTTATATGTATACTGCTTGAAAATATTGCAAAGCTCCCGAGTAACGGTAAGAGCTGGCAACGCTGAAGTAGGGGGCGCGCATGTCGTGTTTCGTCATCTAAAGAAAAACAAATGAGTAGAAAATTGTAAATTGATACGTCGCCATTTTGTAACATAACGTTGTGCGTGTTTGTGATGATTATGGTTACACTCCGCAGAAAAGTGAAAAATTCATGATGTTCGGGAACATTGCAGCGATTTGCACGTTTCGAATGTGTTTATAAACTGTTAGGTAAGCTCTTTATAATTTTTCTTACACGACATTTTTGCACGTTGCACCATACGTTTGACTGATCAAAAGTCATCGCATTTTCCAAACCTTGTCGGTCTAATTTCGTTTCATATTTTGTAGGCCACTAAGGTTCGACTGTGATATTAGTATATAGCAACTGAAAACTCTGCAAAGATGTCAACGACGACACCGACCCCAGAGGAGATAAAGGCGGAGTACGCGTCCAGCCTTGCAGATCTCACATTTAACAGCAGGCCCCTGATAAACGTGCTAACTATGCTGGCGGAAGAAAACTCGACCAATGCAAAAGTGATCGTTGAAGCGATTGAAACGCATCTGCAAAAGGTTAATTTTCTTTGTCATTATTAGTAATCATGTGGGCTTGAAATGTACACGCATTCTGAGCCATACATTTGTAAGTGAAGATGCCAAAGGTTTTTGTGATATACTTCAATAAACAGTTCAAAGTAAATAATTTATTATTGCATCACTTTAACACAATTTTTTGCTAAATCAAAAACACCCTTTACAATATCATCCATATATTTGAAATTAAAATGATTTTTGGTTGCTATCGCAATACTCTTAAAATGGCTTTAGAATGACATTTGAGCTTTGAATGTGGTTTTGGAGAAATCAATGTAACATTGCTTTCACCAATTTGTCAATAATTACTGCATTTTGATATTTATTTTTTTTGAGGACTATAGGGAATGTTCTGATGTTTGCACAGCAGAAGCTTTCCACAACCAAAAAATATAAATGATGGGAAGTACCTTTAACAGTAGTTGTTGACATAGAGGTGTTGTCCCACATTGCCATTTTCCCACTATTTTATAGCAATCATTTTAAGCAATTGTTTCTGCATAGGCCAAACCAAAACCCAAGACAGCCTAAATCAAAACCCCACCCCTTAGCATTTCAGTTTCAGGTTCTGTAACATGTTCGGAAACGTCATAAAAAGGTTGCCCAGTCATTTTCCACATCACTTCAATGTTTCATAATGGATGCAGACCAATCTAGCAACTCCGCTGAGTAAACAGCAGTCTGACTTATTCTTATCTATTTGTTATTTTATTGTTCCATGTGTGTTTATAATTTACATTGATTTATTTGGTGAAAATATAGGTTTATTTTTTTGTGTGTAAAAAGATGCTTTGAGTGCAATTTTTATTTTAAATTGCCCAATAGAACCTCCTATATACAGTAATGGACATAAGTATATAGACAAATTAATATTGTGCTGTATTTCTTTTTTAACTTGTTTTATTAATACACCAACCTGTATACATAATTCGTTATAGCATAATACTCACTTATACATAAATAAATTCATTTCTTAATATTTTTTGGCATAAACATTATTATCAATCACCACCTGGCATCATCCCGGCATAGATTGTAGAAGTTTCTTGATATAAGATTCACCACTTTTGCTCTAAAGCGGCAAAAAGTTCATCCTTGCTGGAATAATTTTTATCTCGTATTTGCTTATCTAAGTATTCCCATAGATTTTCAATGGGGTTTATATTGGGAGACTGTGAAGGCCCTTTGAGAACTGTTATTTTTTCATCCAGAAAGAATTTATTTGCGAGATTTCAAGTGTGCTTCAGGTCATTATCTTGCTGGAAGATGATCTTAAGGGCACATTGTCTTCCACATAGGGTAACATGACATACTTTAGTATGTCTGTGTATACAAACTTATCCATAATGCTATCTATTCTATGTAAAGGTCCCATCCCAAAACCTGAAAAGCACCCCCAACCCATAACAGACCTGCTTCCATGTTTGACAGTTTGCAAAGTGTACTTGGGGTTCAATCTTTCTCCACTACGACGTCTAACATAATGAACATC